CCCCCCCCCCCCCCCCCCCACCTCCCCCCCTCCCACCCCTACCCACACACCTCTCCTCTTCTCCTTGCCCACAACCATGGCCGCATCGGGAAAGCCACTGCTATTCGAGATTGCATGGGAGGTACGTCTATGGCTATGGCTACATCCCCCCCCCCCCCTGCACGCCCCCCCTCTTCCACGTCATGCGCCACGGACTGCGGGACTCACGCTGTTATGGATGATTCTTCACATGGCTGGTACCTGCATGGCGAGGCGATACTATAGGTGGCCCGCAAGGTGGGAGGTATCTACACGGTGCTCAAGTCCAAGTCGCCGTGTACTGTGGCAGACTGGGGTGATCGGTACTGCCTCATCGGTCCGTACGATGCAAAGTCGGCGGAGAGAGAGTTTGAGCCGCTGGATCCAGGCCCGCTCCTGACTCAGGTCATCGAGAACTTGAAGACAAAGCGAGGCATGCGGCTAGAGTTTGGTCGCTGGCTCATACCGGGCTATCCGCGGGTTCTCCTCATCGACTACCACACTCAGTGGGACAAGATCAACGAGTTCAAGGCCGAGCTGTACTCCTCCTTTGGCTTGCCCATTCCCGAGGGTGACGGCGATCCCGAGACCAACGAGGTTGTTCTCTTTGGCTTCCAAGTCATGTGGTTCTTTGCCGAGTTCTGCGCCACGAATCCGTCGCGCATCGTCCTCGCCCAGTTCCACGAGTGGATGGCCTCGGTCGCCGTTCCGCTCATCCGCCGCGACGCCCTGCCTATGGCCACCATCTTCACCACTCACGCCACCCTGCTCGGCCGCTACATGTCCGCCGGCAAAACCGAGTTCTACTCGCGCATCGAGTCCATCGACGTCGACCGCGAGGCCGGCAACCGCGGCATCTACCACCGCCACACCATCGAGAAGCTCGCCGCCCTCAAGGCCCATGTCTTCACCACCGTCTCACACATCACCGCCCTTGAGGCCGAACACCTCCTCTCGCGCAAGCCCGAGGTCATCCTCCCCAACGGCCTCCAGGTGGAGCGCTTCACCGCCATGCACGAGTTCCAGAACCTGCACAAGCTCTCCAAGGACAAGATCCACGACTTTGTCCGCGGCCACTTTTACGGCTACCTCGACGGCATCGACTTTGACAACACCCTCTACCTCTTCACCGCAGGTCGCTACGAGTACTACAACAAGGGCTTCGACATGTTCATCGAGGCCCTCGCCCGCCTCAACCATCGCCTCAAGGTATCCGGCTCGCCCATGACCGTCATCGCCTTTGTCGTCACCCGCGCCCCCGTCGTCACCTACAACGTCGAGTCGCTCAAGGGCCAGAGCCTCATGCGTGAGACCCGCCGTCTCTGCGACAAGATCAACGAGAACATCAACTCGCGCATCTTCGAGGCCGTCTCAAAGGGCGAGCTCATCGACCCCAAGGACCTGCTCACCCAGCAGGACTCGGTCCTCCTCAAGCAGCGCATCCTCACCCTCCAGCGGGACACCCTCCCGCCCATCACCACACACACCATGGTCGACGACGCCTCCGACCCCATCCTTAACCAGCTCCGCTCTTGCCAGCTCTTCAATAAGCCCGACGACCGCGTCAAGATCGTCTACCACCCCGAGTTCCTCAACGCCTCCTCCGCCCTCCTCCCCATGGACTACGACGAGTTTGTCCGCGGTTGCCACCTCGGCGTCTTCCCCTCTGCCTACGAGCCCTGGGGCTACACCCCGGGCGAGGCCGCCCTCCTCGGCGTCCCCTCCATCACATCCAACCTCGCCGGCTTTGCCGCGTACATGGAGCGCTACGTTGACAAGCCGGACGAGAAGGGCATCTTCATCGTCGACCGCCGCTTTAAGGCCCCTGAGGAGTCGATGGAGCAGCTCGTCGACTACCTCTACAACTTTACTCTCCTCTCCCGGCGCGATCGCATCATGCTCCGCAACGCAACCGAGAAGCTCTCGGAGCTCCTCGACTGGAAGGTTCTCTCGCGCCACTACGAGGAGGCCCGCGGCATGGCCCTCTCCCAGTTCTTTATCGAGCAGGCCACCAGGGCCGGATCATCATCCTCTGCCGCCTCTGCTGCCGTCTCTGCTGCCTCCGCTGCATCCGCTGCATCCGCTGCATCCGCCTCCTCCATCCCTGCTCCCTCCGATGCTGCCGATGCTGCCGATGCCGATGCTGCCGATCCCAACCATCCGCCGACAGCATCCGCCACTGCCACCGCCGCCCCGGCCTCGACCACCGCCTCTGCCGCCGCCGCTGCCACCGCCACCACCTCTGGCACATCTGCCCTCGGCATCATACCAAAGTGAATCTCATTCATCCCCCCCCCCCCCCCCCTCCCTCCGCCCTCCCTTCCCTCCCTTCCCTCGACCGCCAAATCGCCAACCAGCAAAAGAGTCCGTCGCCATGTCGCGAGAAAGGAAGCCATAGCGCCGCCACCTCCTCTTCCTCCCCCGCAACACCACCAGTCCACACACAACTCACTCACTCGCACGTCAAGTACGTACACACTCTCCCTATAACCCTTCCCCCCTCCCCCTCTCCCCTCCTCTTTTCTCCCCCTTTCGCCTTCCCTATACCCCCCACACACACACACACACATACACACACACACCGCCTTGTGGGTGTCGACCCGCATGTACGGACGAATTCCAAGGAGAGTGACATGGGCTGCAGGGGAGGGGGGGGGGGGGGGGGCAAGGGGAAGAGCAAGGACACCGGCAAGTGTATGAGATAGAGACTCATGGAAAAAGAGTGGGTATGGGTGTTGGTGTGGTGTGTACAGGTCATGGCTGCTGTGGTTCCACGTAACTTTGTCCTCCTTGATGAGCTGGAGAAGGGCGAGAAGGGACTGGGCGACCCGTCGGTGTCGTACGGATTGGAGGATGGTGAGGACATTATGCTGACCAACTGGCGGGGAACTATCATTGGTCCGGCAAACACGGCTCATGATGGTCGCATCTACTCGCTTCGTATTGTCTGTGGTGACAACTACCCGGATGAGCCGCCTGTCGTCAGCTTCATCTCCAAGATCAACATGAACTGCGTCGACTCTTCCGGCCGCGTCGTTCCATCCAAGCTCTCTACTCTCAAGAACTGGCGGAGGGAGTACGGTCTGGAGACCATTCTCATGGCTCTCAAGGACGCCATGCGCTCGTCTGCAAACAAGAAGCTCTCCCAGCCCGCCGAGGGCGAGACATTCTGAGCTTGGACCGAGTCGGCGCACGCTCTCCCTCCCTACACCCCACTCTCTCCCTCCCCCTGCACACTCCACACTCCGCCCTCCCTCTCCCTCCCCACCCACTCTCTCAGTCCAGTGAACTCTTTGCTCCTCCCACCATGCTCCGCTCCTCCTCGCTCTGTAACCGCTCTGCAGCCGTTGCGAGCCGACTTGTCCGCCGCCTCGCCTCGTCGGACATTGACGCGCAGCGGTGTGCTCACCTCGCACTCGGCCGCATCGCAGCCGTTGAGCCACATCCCAATGCCGACAGGCTGGTGGTGTGCCGGGTTGAGGTTGCCCAGGAGAACGGCGTGTCGCCTGTAGAGACTACCATTGTCTGTGGTGCGCCCAATGTGGTCGAGGGCATGTTCGTCCCGGTCGCCCTGCCCGGTGCTCGGCTGACTACCTTTGCCCCGCCGGCCAAGGCCAAGGCCGATGTTGCTGCTCACTCGTCGCCAGCCTCGCCTGGCCCCGATGCTGTCACTGCTCTCACTGGCGCCGGTAAGACTGTGGAGATCAAGCTCAAGAAGGCCAAGCTCCGTGGCGTCAAGTCGGCTGGCATGATGCTCTCCGCCCGCGAGATGGGCATAGACTCGGGCGACCCAGCCCACTCGTCGGGCCTGCTCGACCTCTCGCCGTTTGTTGCTGAGCTGGTGGGAAGTGATTCCAACGCGTGGTCGGCTCTTGACCTTGGCCAGGTCATGGATGCCTCCAACTGGCTCGGCCTCGGGTCAGTGGCGGAGCGCGGCGCCGCGCTCGAGGCATGGTCGAGCAAGCTGACATCGTACTCGAGCGCACTTGCGGTGCTCGAGTGGGATCGCCACGTCAACATGCCGCCTGGAGCCGCTGCGGCACGGGCAGCACCACTGTCGCAGCTTCAGATGGCGTCCAAGGCCGTGGTCATGGACGGCGACATCGGGCCGATCGCCGCGTCGTTGGCGTCGGATCCTTACCTGGCCGCAGCCGCCGCTGAGACAGGCGAGTCGGAGCTCTCGCACCTGCCTGCGTCTGCCCGCCTTGCACTACGCAAGCGTGCAGTCACGGGATCGGTGTCGGATGCGCTCATCGAGGCCGAGAGCAAGGCGGTGTCGGCGACGCTCGCGGCGTGGTCGGCGAGCAAGGCGCAGCCGGACGCACAGCTGGACTGGCCGGCCTTTGCCCCGCTGCTCCAGGAAGTCATCGACGTCAAAGTGGCGCAGGCTGCGGCGGTCGACACTCACGCTGCCGGCATCGAGAGCGAGACGCCGTACGATGTGGCGCTGGCCATGTTCAATCCAGGGCTCAAGTTTGCCGATCTCGGTCCGATGTTCTTTGATGACCTTGCGCCTGCGCTCCGCGACCTGGTTGGCCGCAAGCCCACACTTGCAGAAGCACCTGAGGAGGTTCGGGCGGCGCTCAACGCGCCCGTGGCTGATCGCGACGCGCTGATGGGTCTGTGCAAGGAGGTTGTGGCCGCGCAGGGCTTTGACTTTGATGCGGGGCGGCTCGACCTCTCGCCGCATCCGTTCACCATCGGCATCCACAAGAGCGACGTCCGGATCACGACTCGGACCGAGTCTGTGCTCGAAGCGTTGCTGGCGACGGTCCATGAGGCCGGTCACGGCTTGTACGAGCAGGGTCGCGGGAGCGGCTCGGTGCCGTATGGCACCCCGGCAAGCGACATCCTCTCGGTCGGCATCCACGAGTCACAGGCTATTCTCTACGAGCGGTACATCGGGCAATCCCTGCCGTTCTGGGAGTGGGTGTGGCCCAAGGTCCAGGCGGCGCTGCCGGAGCTGGCGCCCGGCGCATCGGCGCACGACGCGTACCTTGCAGCCAACGCGCCGGATCTCTCGGGCATCCGGGTCTCGGCCGACGAGCTGCGGTACCCGCTGCACATTGTGCTGCGGACCTCATTGGAGGCCAAGATGTTCAACGGCGAGCTCAAGGCGGCGGATCTGCCTGACGCATGGAATGAGGAAGCCGGCGCACTGGGTATTCCCGAGGCTCGAGGCCCCGGTCCGCTGCAGGACATGCACTGGGCGATGGGCGCGTTTGGTTACTTTCCGTCGTACACGCTCGGCGCAATGTACGCGGCGCAGATGATAGGCGCGGCGTCAGCGCAGGTTCCTGAGCTTGCGGACGGTAACTATCCGGCGGCGTTTACAGCGCTCAAGCCGTGGCTGGCTCGCGGAGTCCATGCCGCCGGCTCGCTCCCATCGGACGGCAACGAGCTCTGCGAGGCGCTGACCGGGGCGCGGCTCGATCCCGGCTTCTACCTCGCGCATCTGCAGACCAAGTACTTTAGCGGATGATCTTGTGGACTGCTTACGAGGTCTTCCACAGGCGGACGTGCTTGTCCATGGCGGCGGTGGAGATTAGGGCCTTGGACGACGGGTGCCAGACGAGCGAGGTGATGCGGATGCTCTCGCCGTGGGCGTCGGTGATAGTGGCGATGGCCTCGCCCGAGTTGGCGTCGAAGAGCATGATGTCGGCATTGATAGCAAATGCAAGGGTGTTGCCGTCGGGGGAGAGCTCAAAGACGTGGATGGCATCGGCAGTGAGGCCGGCGTCGTCGAGGGCGGCGACGTGCAGGATGTGTGGATCCTCATTGACCATGTAGCGGACGTCGATGTCCCACAGGATCCACGAGCCATCGAGCGAGAGGGTGGCAACCCTGCAGGCATCGGCCGAGAACGAGACAAAGTTGACCGACCGTGTGTGCCCACCGAGGTCCATGGCCAGCTCGACGCCGGTGAATGCGCCGGCCTTGTCGCGGACGGCCTCATAGATCTTGACGTCCGAGGTAAAGGCGGCGACGGCAAAGAAGCGCCCATCGGCAGAGACAGCTGCGTTGTTGTTCCGCATCTGCTTGGTGTCGAGGACAGCGAGCTCGGTGCCCGAGGTCGAGTGGATGCGGACAAGGGTGTCGCGGCCGACAGTAACGACAACCGGCGCCGCATTTGCACCGCCCCACAGCAGCAGCTTGAGAATGTCGTCCCGATGGCCAGGCTGGAAGCGCGTCCGCTCGGTGGCAACCGGATCGCGCGAGCTTGAGCTTGCCAGCCATGCGCTGAACGAGAGATCAAATACAACCACATCACCAGCGTAACCAGAGAGTCCGACGGCGACGTCAGCATCAGGAACACTTGCCAAACACTTGACCTCATCCAGCTCGATAGGCATGACCTTGACAGGCATCGAAGCCGCCTTGAGAGTCTTTGCCGTTGTGGCATGAAACTGAACCGTCCGATCACTTGAAGTGGTAGCCAGCACCATGCCCTTTGCCACAAAGCTCGCCGAGTAGACCTCACCACCATGACCTTTGATAGTCTTCATAAACAAAGGCGATTCATGTGTGGTGCTCTTCTTCTTGCCCTTCTTCCGACCACCACCAGTAGACAATGATCCCGCCTTGCCCGCCTTGCCCGCCTTGCCCGACTTGCCCGACTTGCCCGACTTGCCCGACTTGCCCGATTTGTTCCCCTTGCCCGACTTGCCAGACTCGTCCCGTCCTCGCCCACTACCATGGCCATGGCCAGAGTCACCACCACCGGTGCCACCGCCAACACCACCAGCACCACCACTTCCTCCTACAACTGCTCTAGCTACAAGGGCTACAAGGACAGCAAGTGCCACGCAGACTGCGCCAATAATCAACACATCCATCGTGGTCGTAGTCGTAGTCGAGTGCTGGCAGGTCGCGGGAGTCGGTCGCGCGCTTTGGTCGGCGGATTGGCTTTGGCCGGATCGGAGAGTCGGGTTGGACGCGATGTGCCGCGATCGGGGTGAAATAGGGCGACAGCAAACGGTGGGGTATGTGAGTCACTATCGGTCGCAGTCTAGTGCTGGGTGGCCTGATCGGCAGCTCGCGGGAGTTGGGGCTTTGGAGAAAGTAGAGCGTTTAGAGTGGCCGGACAAGACCATCCCATGGCATCAGATTGCGCAGGTCATTCAAACTCGATGTAGCAGCAATCGTCATGTTGGCATAGGCTGATCAAAAGCCCCAGTCAAAGGCAGAGTCTGATTGGGTGGCGGTCGAGGCCGTGGCGGTGTCTTCGTCAGACTCGGTCGATTGCGAGTCCTCCCACTCGCGGACGACAAGGAAGGGATCGAGCCTGTTTGAGCCAGCCTGGAGGGCAAGATGGGCGGTAAAGGTGGTATATGTGCCCTGAGTGCCAATGATGGCATCGCGGACAAGGTCGTCTGTGCAGAGCGCGTCGCGAATGCGCGAGACGGTGTTGGCGATCCAGCGCTGGTCGGGATCGCCCTCCACGAGGTAGCCCCAGATCGGCGGAACGTAGTCGTTGATTTCGTAGCAGAGAAAGTAGAGCTCGTTGATGTCATCGACGGCGATGAGCTGACTCGCAGCCTGCTTGGCAAGCACAGCGTCAACGGCGTCTTGACCGCTTGCACGCGCGTTACTGATGGCACGCAGCTCCTCAGCGAAGCGGGCGACCATCTTGTCCTCTCCCTCGCCACGCAGCTCCTGATGCAGCAGTCGGCGCAGCGCTCGCCAGTTGCCCAGCCGAGCGGAAGTCTTGACGCCCGCAAGCAACATATGCTGGCCGCGAGCAAAGTCATCGCCGGTGAGCGACACCGAGATCGACCGACACGTAGCCGCGAGCGCGCCAACATCCCTGGCGTCGAGCACGGACGACTTGAACGCGATCAAATGCAATATCTCCGTAGGAAGATCTGTGATATGGGTCGCCATGGTCTGATACAATGGAAAGGAGTAGAGTGTAGCCTACACGCCTCGCCCACCCATGACGCGCGGTGCGCCGGGTTTTGTTCCCGCCGGCCATTGACCAATGTTCGTCGTCGAAATTGGCGGGGAAAGGCGGCGGAACCGGACGAACCACGCGCTGACACTCATTGCACGTGCACACCAGTTCAATACGCCCAATGTGATGTGCGGTCACTCGGCATCGCGCTGCTACCATCGTGATTGCAACGACCACGCGCTTGCTTCTTGCCGATGTGATGTGCCGCTGCTCGCCGATCGCCCCGTGCCGCTGCAGCAGCAGCACGAGGCTGACAGAGATAATGTTGGCAACGATCTGGCGCAAGGTGCAGCTTAGCTGCAACGACATCCAGCTTGGTCCCTTGTCCATGATCGCCACCAAGGATCATCGGCATGGTCAGTCAGCGCCCAACGATTAACCACTCGTTCAATAATCGTACCAACGATTAACCACTCGTTCAATAATCGTACCAACGATTAACCACTCGTTCAACAATCGTACCAACGATTAACCACTCGTTCAATAATCGTACCAACGATTAACCACTCGTTCAACAATCGTACGATTACCGGTACAACAGGTAATGGTGGACGTCCCTTTCTGGCAGCAGGGCAAGCTCCCCCCCCCTCCCCCCCCTCCCGCCTAGGTAAGCACTTGACGTCGGGACGGAGAGAGTGATGCAGAGCCCGGCAAGTGAGGAAGGGGCAGGCAAGGGCAGAATGAGTGGGCGACGTGTGGGCAGTGTCATCCTCGTGGCCCTCCTCGTCTTCTACACCCTAGCCTTTGCCACAGGTACCGAGGTCAGGGCTGAGGCCGCCACCAGTCTCCTGGCCATTGTCCCGCCATTGTACGCACCCTGGGGAAGGAAGGAGGGGAGGGGGGAGGGGGGAGGGGGGCAGAGGGGGGACTTACGGACGGGTTGCTGGTCATGGACGACGGACGGGTTGCTGGTCATGGACGACGGACGGGTTGCTGGTCATGGACGACGGACGGACGGCTGGTCATGGACGACGGACGGGTTGCTGGTCACGGACGACGGACGGACGGCTGGTCATGGACGACGGACGGGTTGCTGGTCATGGACGACGGACGGACGGCTGGTCATGGACGACGGACGGGTTGCTGGTCATGGACGACGGACGGGTTGCTGGTCATGGACGACGGACGGGTTGCTGGTCATGGACGACGGACGGACGGCTGGTCATGGACGACGGACGGGTTGCTGGTCATGGACGACGGACGGACGGCTGGTCATGGACGACGGACGGGTTGCTGGTCATGGACGACGGACGGACGGCTGGTCATGGACGACGGACGGGTTGCTGGTCATGGACGACGGACGGACGGCTGGTCATGGACGACGGACGGGTTGCTGGTCATGGACGACGGACGGGTTGCTGGTCATGGACGACGGACGGGTTGCTGGTCATGGACGACGGACGGACGGCTGGTCATGGACGATCGACGGACGGCTGGTCATGGACGGCTGGTTATGGACGATGGACGGACGGCTGGTTATGGACGGATGGACGGCTGCACGGCCACGGACGCACGGTCGACAATCGGGAGACCCTTGCAGGGCTGCTGTTTGCTTGGCAATCCCGCACCGCCTCTCATTGTACCGGAGGGCTACGCTGTCGACTCTGGTCGTGCCGGCTCTGGCCCTGATGGCGTTGCTGCCGCTGGCCATTTTGGTGACCGGCGCGCGCGCGGCGCTCGATACCAAGTCCGGCGGCGCGTTGGTGGTGTCAGTGACGACGCTCGCCGGCGCACTCCGGCTGACCATGGCCGGACTGCTCGGCTATGCCGGTCTTGCTGGCAAGGTCACTCTTGTCGGCGCGCTTGTCTTCCTTGCGCTGTACCAGCTGTTTGCGGGCGTGGCCATGCTGCTGAGCGTGGATCTTCTCGACGCCGTCGATCCAGTCGGCGGCTTGGGCGAGCTGCTGGTTGCCGGCGTCTTTGGCCTCTCGGCGAGTGCTCTCTGCACTCACCCGCGGTATGCTACGCCAGGCTACCGCCATCCGTCAGACGCGGCATCGGTCGGATCGCTCCGCGACATGATGGTTGGTGCGCTGTGGCTCGTCGCCCTTCTCCCGCTCGTCTTTGCCTCGGCCGTGTCGGCCTCACTTGACGCTGCCACCCGCACCGCCATCCACACGCTTCTGGCCTCGCTCGGCGGTGGCCTCGGTGCCGTCATCATCGAGCTGTGGATGCTTCCCAAGCTCACGATTCCGGGCGTTGCCAACGGGCTACTCGCTGGTGCCGTCACCATTGCTCCGCTCGCCGGCTACAAGCTCAACGTCGGCCTGGCGCTCATCGCCGGCGCCGTCGGCTCTGCTGTCGGCGCCCTCGCCCAGGCTGGCGTCGACGCCCGCTCGCCGGTCTGGCTCATGTGGCACGACCGCTCCCAATTGGTGGCCACCCTCGCAGTGCCAGGCGCCGTGGGTGCGCTCTGGTCCATCGGCGTCACCTGGGCCTCGCGCTCGTCGGCCTACACGCCCGCCGACGCCGCAGCCCTCTTTCCGCACAACTCGTGGCAGCCGCTGTACCAGGCCATGGCCCTCGGCATCGCCCTCACTGCTGGCCTGCTCGGCGGAACCCTGGCAGGCTGGATCCTCGCCGCCCTCCCGCGGCCAACCAAGTTTTTCCACGACTTGCCCATGGTGAGCCTGCCCTCGACCGTGGTGACCACCCTTCGCCCAGACGTCCTGCCCGAGGTCGTCGCTTCAGCGCCGGCTCCGGCCAACCCGCACGACACGTCGACCGCCGCGAGCGCCGTGCCCGAGGAGATGCCGTCAGAGTCGGCAGCACGCAAGGCGTTTGGCCATCCGAGCTCCCGCCGCGGCGTTGCGCCGGCGTCTGATGCCAGCCCCTCTCGCCGCGCCAGCCAGCCCAAGCCGATGCGCCCCATCACCCCGCCGCGGCCGAGCCGCCCGGTCCCGCTGCGGGACATGGCGGCGTCCGAGCCAGCCGTCCCACTCCACTCGGCCCATCATGACGTCCGCGAACGCAGCATGCAGTAGTATTTGCGTTGATTTAAAAGCTCGTCGTCACCACAGGTTGAGCGAGTCCTCGTAGATGACCGAGAGGTCGGCGGCCGAGACCGCAAACGGAGCGTTGTTGAGAACCCGCTTCTGCGGAAGCGCCCGCTCGACGAGGCCAGGAATGTCGTTCATGGTGATGCCGACCGCCGAGAGGCCCGGCGGCGTCACACCCGTTGCCCGCATGATGGCAATGAGCTCCTGAGAGAGAACCTCGCCCAGCGCCAGCGTGTCGTCCGCAGCCATGGCGCAAAGGTCGGCTTGCGACACGCCGGTGGCGTGCCGCAGCCCCAGCGCGGCCGAGGCCTGCGCGAGCGTAGCTGTCACCGCCGCGTGCCGCCCAGGATCCGCCGCCACCTGATACGCAAACGCTGCCGGCGCGTGCATCATCACAGACATGCCGTGTGGGAGGAGCGGCGCGTCCGGGTAGCCCGACTCGGGCGACGGGCAGTGGCTCCCGTGGGCCGAGAACGCAGAGACTGGGTACGACATACCGTGGCAGAGCGCCGTTCCAGCGTTGCCCATCGCCGTCCCTACCACCGTCGACGCCAGCATCATTCCGTCGCGGGCGGCGACGTCGTCGGCGTCCGTCACCGCGCGGACCAGGTACTGCGCGCAGAGCTCAAGCGCGCGGATGCACCCAATGTCGGCAATCGGGTTCGCACCCTGGTTGAGCGGGCGGTCGTGCGTGGCAGGCGTTGTCCCTGCATCCACCGCTCGCATAAAGTACGGCCGCGCCGTGTACGACTCCATAGCATGGCAGAGCACGTCATAGCCCGAGGCGCAAATGATCTCGGGCGTGAGCGAGTCGCAAAACGCCGGATCCACCACGGCGTGGACTGGAATGAGCGCCTTGGACGCGAGCGCAGTCTTGGTGTTGCGCTCAATCACGTCGCACACCGCAAACCCGGTAGTCTCCGAGCCGGTCCCCGAGGTTGTCGGCACCGCAATGTGCGGAGCAAGCAGGCCCGACGGCGAGTCGCCCGAGCCCATCGGCTTGTTGATGTACCCGTAGAAGCCATCGCGGTGTGGGTACATGCCGTACACAATGCCAGCCTTGGTCGTGTCCATCACTGACCCGCCTCCAACCGACACATACGCCGCAGCCTTGGTCTCGGCCACCCACTCGCCCGCAGCAAGAAACGAGCCATCCGTCGGCTCCACAGTCACCTCGTCGTACACTACCACGTCATGTCCCGCCGACTCAAGAGCACGAATGACATCAGCGGTTGTCTCCAGGCCTCTCACACGCTTATCGGTGAGAAGACCGACACGACGAGGAGTAAGACCATGATCATCCACAAGATGACGAGCACCAGGACCGTCCATAATGCGAGCAGCAAGACCACCAAGTTCATGACGAGTTCCACGACCAAAGGTCACGTTGTTGGCCTTGACATCAAAGCCATACTCGACATCGATCTCATTCTCAGCTCCACTCGGTCCACTTCCAGGCGATGCTCCCGAGATGTCTTCCATATGATCCGATGATGACGATGATGATGACGATGATGATGTTGACAGAATCGTTGGTCCATGAGCACAGCATCCTCCACCATGTTCAGCTCCAACGGTCGACCACAGCGAGCGCACTCCCTCCACACCACCACCACCAACCATGACTCGCATGGCTTGTTGAAGCTGAGTCATGTTCGCTGCCGTCGACGAAAACCGAAACATGCTTCCAATTGAGCAACCTCCCTTGAGAGTGAGATGAGTTGGCTTGGCAACTTCCGTTCTCTCTGCCTCCCCTCTGCACCCCCTTTGCCCGTCTCTTGCCTCGCCTTCTTCGCCACCACTTTGGGCTGCCGCTCTTTGGTGAGCGCGAAAAACGTGACAGGCAATTTGGAGAGGGTCTCTCTCTCTCTCTCGGTTGCCGGCCGAGCGGTCGCTCTCCGCTGGCTCGACAGCTTGAGATTACCTCGCATTTACTGTGTTGGCCATCTTTGCCTCCACATCGTGCTAATTGTCCCAGTGATCCGCGTGTACATGAGCGCCTGTCACTAGCTCGCGTACACACGGGATCAAGGTAAGAATTGGGCGCCCAGAGGACCGCCCGTCGTCATCGTCGTCGCGCATCGGCATCAAAAGGGTGGGCGGGTGGGTTCCCGCTCCGTCAGAGCCGACTGTGCCGACGCCATCGGAGCTCTTAGCGAAGTAAGGTGTCAGCCGCTTTGCTCCGATCAGCCGGCCGCGAGTGTTAGCGACTCGAAGCAGTCGCGGCAATTGCTGATGCTGGTGATGGTGCTCGCCCCCCGCCCCCCCCCCCCCCCACACACACACACACACACCGTCTCCAACGGATCAGATCATTTGTTGTTGATAGTTTTCGAGTGAGCGACATGATGGCTATCGGGTGATGGTCATGATGAGGGGGGGGGGGGGGGAAGAAGGGCCTGCCCATGTCCAGGCGCTGGATGGTGACAGATGCGATCGACGTCGAGCAAGCGGGGGCGAGCAAAGTGAAGTAGGCGATCGAACGGACAGGACGATGCTGTGGGGGCGTGTCACTGTTATCCAGCTCCCTCTACTTTTCACAGAGATCGATACGGATGGGCTTTCCGCCGAGCTCGAGACCCTCCAACTCGGTGGCGGCCACAGCTGCCTCGCGGGTGGTAAAGTCGATGTAGCCAAACCCGCGATGCTTGCCCGATCTGAAGCCAGAAACACAGTCACAGGTCGCACACTCAGTAAGTACCACCCTTCTTCGCCGCAAAACCCTCTCTCCATCCCGCTAATCCTCGGCATTCCGCCCACATCCCGCTCAAATTGCCGCCATGCGATCCTGATTTGAAGGCTTTTCTCTGCACCTGGGTGATCATCTTGGCCGATCACCCCCCCTTCCCCCCCCTCCGCGATCGATCACACACCGCCCCCCCACCACCACCACCACCCCCGCACACACACACACACTGTGGGGAGGAGAGCAAGAGAACATGGTATAGCAGACGGCAGGCAAGGCGGAGATCATTATCTTCAAAATGCACAGAGCAAACATACGCAGTTGTTGTGAATTGTACCGAAGCCACCTCGCCGGCCTGTGACAAGGCGGCCTCGACCTCACCAGGAGAGACACTCATGGCAATGTTGGCCACAAACACCGTGTTACGCCGGCTGGACATGATGAGTCAGACTTGTGGTGAGAGGGGGTGAAGGGCTTGGAGAGGTGTGTGACACTGGCTCGTCCCGCGCCTGCGCCTGTGTCTACACCTGCTCCTTTTCACGCACTGTTCGTGTAGTCAGCATCCTGAACAATGACACGCACCTGTCACCGCGAGTCGCATCCATCTGCTGCGAGTTTAGCTCGATCGGGCTCGATCGAGCTCAATCATAGTCATTGAGTCACCACAAGACATGGTGCGGATGCTACATGGCTGCGGTTGATCAGGCCACGCCGATAGAGCACAGTGTACCGCATCTTGTAGGATCGAGCTCGGAGAATACCGCGGTCTTGCTCTCATGCCCGTAACCACATGAATACTTGAAAGACTCACTTCTCTACACTTTGATCTGTGTCATTGGCTGGTACCTGGGCCATAATGAGCACAGGGTGATGTACCTCTTTCATCTGTCTTGATCGCTGGCAACAGAGTAAACGTCCCGTGGAACGCCATCTTTTCGCTCGCCATCTCTTTTTCGGCGATCTTCCAACTGCACTTGCTTGCTCACCAGGAGCAACCACGGTTGACAAAGGGCAAGGTCATGCATCGTCGACACGATCTGCAGCAAGATGGAACCAGTTGGCTCCCTTCATTATCGGTCTGATCGGTTGTCTTCATTGTAAACTACGCCACGTACTCAAACGCGCCCGAGGCCTCGTAATCGGCCATGTCAAGGGCAACCTGGCACGACTCGGAGACGACACGCTCAGCATCAGACTGGTGGGTCTGGAGGAGCGGGAGGCAGTCATCGTGGGCGATGGAACCGAGGGCCTCGGCGGCCTCGTGGCGGACCATGCAATGCTCCGAGCCGTCCTTGAGAACCTTGGCGAGGGCATCGACCGCAACCGGCGACTGCATCTGGCCGAGAACGTAGGCCAGCTCGTGGCGGAAGAGCGCCGAGGCGTCGTCAAAGGCTGAGCAGATGGCCTCGACAGCAGCGTCCGAGCCCTCGTTACGCAGTGCAAAGAGCGCCCGGTACCGGGCAAAGAGTGAGGCGTCCGCGTTGTTGAGCGTCTCCTTCAGCTCCGCCACAGACGCGGTCGGCGCCGCGGGTGGCGCAGGATCCACAGACAGATACGGGTTCTCGCCCAGCTCGCCTGACTCCAGCTGCGCCTTGCCCTCCTCCGAGTTGGTCCACTCGATGAGCGCCACCGCGAGCGCGCACGTCTCGGCAATGACCGGATCCTCGTGCTCCGCGTACTTGACGAGCGCAGGAAGCGCCTTTTCATCGCCAATAGCACCCAGCGCCTCACCAGCCTCGTGCCGGACCATCGGGTCCTCGTCTTCGTCAGCCAGCACCTTGAGCAGCGTCTCCACAGCCGCCGGATCCTTCATTTGCCCGAGCACATACGCCACCTCGTGCTTGAGAAGCACGGAATCGTCCTCAAAAGCTATCCTCCCCAGCCCCATACACCCCCCCCACCCCCCCCCCCACATACATATCCCACAACACAGATCACAATCTCATGAGTCACACATCATCATCACCATCCCCAGCCTCCCCCCCCCCCCATCGGCCTGCTGTCGTCAATGGCGGAATCCTTCGAACGAATGAACGCACGGCACCGCCTTTCCGAGTCCTCCCCCCCCCTTCCCCTCCACCACGAGCACTCCCATGACCGCCCACACCCACCCACCACCTCCAAACTAAGTAATGAGGTACAACACAAATACAGCATGCCGCAAGCCAAAAAGGTCTCCCCAAATATCTATAATACTCCTTCCAGAGCCTTCGCCGTCTCGGCCAATCTCCCCCCCTGCCGCGGCAAAGTGGCACTCCATCTTACGCCCATCCATGGGCAGGCGAGCAATTAGGCGGAGGAACGTACCACGGGCAATAGCAGCGACACCATCCTCACCACCAATGTTACGGAGGGTGAAGAGAACACGAAAACGGTCAGCAAGGGGAAGGTCCTTGTTGGCTAGGTCTGCACCAAGATCGGTCGTGGACCGCACATCAGCAAGCGCTGCAGCCTGAACAGACGCAGGCGGATTGGTCGATGTGGACATGGTGGGGGGGGACAGACAAAGAGAGTCAGGTGGCTAATGTTGAGATCGGCAGCAGTGGTGTGGCTGACATCAGTTGCACTATCATCGGCCCAGGCCCGCCAATAGCTACCTTCGTTTCTTTCTGATGACGACAGCATCTCGCTGCTCAGCAAGTTACCAGGGCTAATGCCGTCGCTAACCTCAACCTGTATGCTCGCGTCTGCTGCAGTTGTGCATTACTCCAGATCCACAGCCAGATCGGACAACAAGAAGACGCTCGACACACTCAAGCGGTTGTACAGATTGGTGGTGGCGTTGAGCGCAAGCCAGGTCACGGCTAGCCGATCGGGTATTTGCGGTGAGAGGACAAGCACAGCCGGCGACCACGATGACTGGCGATAGCCGGTCATAGCGATGCGCCCGCATCCGTGCAGAACTCGCAGCCCGTCGGCAGGGCCATTACTCGTTGTCGCAACATTCTCCGACTCCAGCCGCAGCTCGTCGTCCATGCCGAGGCCAAAGGCAAACGTCGGGGCGCACGCCGGCACATTGGGATCGCCAAAGATCTTGAAGCCAACCAGCGCGTGCTTGTGCTGGTCCGGCGGGAGATACAGCGGGCTGGGCGGGAGTGGCCAGACAGGCCACGACGGCGCGGCGTCGGCGTGTGCCGCCTCCAAAGCCGGCACCTCCATGACAACCACAGCGATGAGCTCTGGACCATGCTCGCCATACAGCGAGGCGTAGAGGCCGACGAGATCACGCGCGTCGACCGCGGCGCCGGTTGGCAGAGCCGCTCGCGCCACTTGCTCCGGCAGCGGCACAAAAGTACCTGTCAGATGCGCCGCGACAGCATCCGAGACAAAGGTTACAAGCCTAGGCTCTGTATCTGATGCAGGCAGCGGCAAGACGTCGACCGCGTCGCCGGCGGCATTGGTGACGTGCGCGTACGCCTCGTCGAGGCCAAAGGCAAACCGCCCGCCGGCCGCCACTGCCGCCACCACCTCGACTGCCGGCCGGCCTTGGTATCCAACCTCATCCTGAGAAGCATCCAGCCTCAGCTCGACGTGGCCGAGCTCGATGCGCGGGTTTGTGCCCGTGGCGCTGCTCTCGTCCACCACCAGCTCGACGCGCCACCGCCGCTCGACCGCGTCGGCATCGTCATCGCTGGAGCCCACGCCCGCCCCCACCCCCACCACAACCGGCGAGAGCAGACCTCCGCCATAGTCTGGACACGCCCTGCATTCATCCAGAAACCAGGCCTCAGCAAAGGCGAGCTTTGCCAACGGCAACGAGGTGACCGACAAGAATCGATGAATGACATCCTCAGGCAGCTCAGCCTGGCGAAGATCGGCCAACAACGAGATCATCCATCGGCCCAGGCCATGACCATCATCAGCAGAATGAAGAAGGTCATTAACCCGTTTCCTCCATGCCACTTGATCCATACACAACCGCCACATCTTGGTACAGCTGCTTGCCAACGCCCGCACATCCTTTGCCTCCAACTCTTGGATGACCAGCACCAGAATCTCGTCAGCCAGCTCGCTCACCAGCCACGACCTTGAAGGCATGCTCTCCCTGCACAAACACGCGGTACAGTTATATACCTGTTACGGAAGGTAAGGTGGGGACCGTCGGCGTGGGTAGCGAGAGAGTCACGTGCTTATCGACAGAGTTAGTCATCTGTCCGCCATCGCTGTCGCCACCGCCGTCGCCGTTCGCCGTCACCGTCGCCGTTCGCCGTCGCCGTCGCCTGCAGGTGCCAGACCGTCACGCCGAGCTCATGGTATGTGTGGTATGTCATGGCTGTCTCGGTCTCATCATCCTCACCAACATCCTGCCCATCATCTGCCTGATTGTCAACATCGCCATCATATCAACCTTCAGCACACCTTCAGCATATCCATTGACACAGCTGTCACAATAGCCTCGTCATGATCACCTCTGATCACCTCCCCTCCCCCCTCCCCTCCCCTCCCCTCCCCTTCCCTCCCCTCCCCTCCCCTCCAAGTACCCCCCGTCATCTTATCATCATATCATCTTCGCATCACTCCATCGTGTCGCCTTGGGCACAGCTGGCACCACCCACTCCGCCACCGACCACGACACGACGACGAGGACCGACCACGACACGACGACGAGGACCGACCACGACACGACGACGAGGACCGACGAACACCTCACTCACCCTCACCCCCACCACCCCCACCACCCCCACCCCTCCATCCCTTCACCTCACCTCCTCTCTCCACCCCACCCCCCCCACACCCACCCCATCCGGACCAGTCACCTCCTTCTCCGCCCCTCATGGCTCGCCATCGTACGTCCCCCCCCCCTCCCCCCGCCCTCCCCCCCCTGCCCCCCCCCTGCCCCCCCCCCTCCTCTTACTCATGATGGAGATACGTGGATCATGGCTGGTCAATTGTGTAGATCCTGATCTCATTCCTTGCCACAAGCAGACAGGGATCAGTATTGGAAGAGTATGTGATCGATGTGACGGACGATGTGTGGTGTGCGACTCGTTTGTTCGGCTTGCTGAGATTGTGAGGATCTGTGATGAGTGTGCCTTTGGAAAGGGTCAAGAGGCTTGTCTCGTCTGTGGCAGGCGAGGTGAGGCCGATGCTTACTACTGCAAGGAGTGCTGCCTCCTCGAACGTTCCCGTGAAGGCTGTCCAAAGATCATCAACGTCGGCCACACAAAGTCTGACGCCCACTACAACAGAGGCAAGACATGATGTACATGTTGACTTGGATGACTTTGCTCTCCCCTTTCGCCCCCGCCATGGCTCTCGTTGTGGCACGCATTGCAACGAGGTAAAAACATCCCTGCTCCGCTCGCCTCTCGGTTGTGCATCACCTTTTACGACGACGACGACGACGACGATGACGAGCCCGACGCTGGCGCAATCTCGCGCATGAGGATGCGCATATGCTTGTCCATCTTGGAGAGGCGCTCGTGGAAGTGGCTCAGATCGCGCTTGAGCGACATGATGTAGGAGGAGAACTCCGAGTCGAGCTTGTCGCCGTCGAGCACGGCCGGCGGGCCCGAGATGTCGCCCGTGGCATGGAGCTCGTGCTTCTTGACCTGGGCCTGGAGCTTGCGCTGCTGCAGGTTGCGGAGCAGGTTGCGCTGCTCCTCGACATCGAGCAAATTGTCGCCGTCGGTGTCAAACTCGCGGAGCAGCTCCTCGGCGTTGTTAACGCCAAGCAGCTGCTTGGCCTCGCGCTTGTACTTTTTGAAGATGGTCTCGATCTCGTCGCGGTCGAGGAGGTCATTGTCGTCTTGGTCGCCCTCGACAATGGCGTCCTGCAGCTCCTGAGCGTCGTCCTCCTCCTGCTGGAAGACCTGCGTGCGGTCCTTAATCCACGAGCCAAAGACGTGGAGCAAGTTGACCTTGTCCTTCTGCTTCTCGCGGATGGTGTCCTGAACCTCGGTGTAGGCGTCGTTGAGAATGGCCATGAACATGGAGAGGAGGATGAAGAAGACAAGGACGATAAAGACAACAAAGTAGAGCGGCCCAAAGACTCGGTTCGACTCCTGCATGGCCACAAAGTCAAAGTCGCCTAGCAGCGACCGGAGGAGGGTGAAGAACGTGTCGATAAAGGTGTGGAAGCCCGGGACGTCGGTGCCAAAGGCGAGGACGCCGGCCTGCGCAAAGCCAAAGAGAACAAAGGCCATCATGGCCACAAACGAGACCGTGTTGCGGATCGACTTGGAGACCGTCTCGGCAATGATGTCCATGCCCGGCAGGAACTTGGTGTACTTGAAGACCTTGAACCAGAGGATAAACGCGTTGACGGCCAGAATGTTTTGCTCGGCAGAGTTGAGCAGCGAGATCGGCTGAAAGTTGTAGAACTTGCGCGTGTTCGTCGGGTCCACCTCGAGGTTGTTGAGCTTGATGAGAATGGCGATGCGGATGCCAAACACGCACACAAAGAGCAGCATGTTGACCAGGTCGATCACATTCCATCCATTCTGCCAGTACGCGATGCACCCGTGCTTCCACAGCTCGTACACCTCCTGGATGAGGTAGCAGACCACAAAGAACATGATGATGATCTCGCCTGCAAGCTGCGCCCGCCCGAGTGCTGTGTCGGCGTACTTGTACAGCCGCGCCACCCGGAAGGTGTACGATGGAAAAACGCCGCCCGAAGGCAGAAACTCAAACGCCATCTGCGCAATGTGGAACAGGTTGAGGTTCGCGTTGTACGTCGTAAAGTCGACCCACACCACGCGCGTCTGCAGATCCACCCACCCGTCGCTCTCCAGCTCTGCCATGTGCTCCTCATGCACCGTCGTGTTGTCCGCAATCGAAAAGTCCTCAATGTACCCGCCACCCTCGAACCACTGCAGACGCGCAACCTGCCGCGTCGTCCCCAGCTGGTCCGACGAAAAGTACGGCTTGAGCTTGGGCGTGTGCGGCCCGCGCTCCACCGCCGAGCTCGAGTACCGCGCGTAGCACTGCGGAAAGACGGCCTTAAAGTCGGTCACAATGTCGCACTTGCCCGGCGCCACGCGCACCTGCCGGAGCCGCACCGCGCCCACCAGGTAGTTGACTCCGTAAATGTATCCGCGCCCGAGCCCCACGTCGGGCGACTCGAACAGTCCAGCAAGGAGCGGGCCCTTCATGTACTGCCAGAACTCCTCAAACGTCGCCACCGAGAAAAACGTCTTGTAGATCTTGGTCACGTCGCCCGAAAACTCCTCATACAGCATCAGGTCCTTCATGTAGTCGTTGTACTGGAACGAGTAGAGCGGATCACGCGAGTTGAGCACAACAAGCGAGAAGACCACAAGAAACACGCAGTACACAACCATCTCGAGCAGCTGGCCCCGGAACTCACGCTTCAGCTGCTTGACCTGGATCTTCTGCTTGATATCCTTTTCCAGATTCCGCGTGAGGTACGCCAGCTCCAGCGCAGTCTGTCCCGAAGCCGACGACGAGAGCGACGACGACGATGAGACCTCTTCAGCCTCTTCACGAACTTCTGCCAGCCGGCCACGACGACCAGCCCGACGACCAGCCCAACCACCAGCCCGACGACCACCGATCTCGGCCACCTCGGCCGCCTCGACAGAGCCCGAGCTCTCACTGGCATACATAAAGGTGTACGACTCATCACCACCATTATCATCATCATCATCATTCCTCGACCACTTGTTGCTGCCATTGCCGTTGCCGCTGCTGCCGCTGCTGTGGCCGCTGCTGGTGGCCGCTGAAAAACTGCCGGTCGAAGTGGTACAGTCCGACGAGGACAGCATAGCAGCGGACGAAGGTGACGAGCTGACCAAGCTGCTGGTCTCACCATACGACGTAGACGACATGCTGACGACTCCTGCTCCGGTTGGCATGCCCCCCCGAGTTGAGTGGTGGTTCTTACGACCGTGCCCGTGCCCGAGCTCCCGACCTGGCTCTCGCCGCTCTGCTGCCAGCCTGATCCCGCCGCACCACCGCCACTCGGCCATCACTGGCCACTCTCCCGCGGTTCCTGTTCTTTTTCTCGGCACACAGTTCCCCCCCCCCGATCACATCACCTCCACCCATCCCCAACCCCCGATCCCTTTCATCTCTTCCCAACTCCCCCCCCCCCCCCTCCCCTTCCCCCCCACCTCTTACATCTTCCCCCCTCTCTCACGCTTCCCCATGCCAGTCTCATTCCTCATCCTCCTTCTGTCAACAATTTTTACCGTCGCCCCACCCCCCACCCCCCACCCCATCATTCCTGTCCGACAGTCACCTACCCACTGCCACGTTCTCACACGCACACTCATCTACCTATGTCCGCTCACAGCGACGACCAAGACTCCGAGCTCGGCTTCGACCCAGCAGCCGGGACAAGCTCAGACACTCTCGGTGACGACGAGCTCTTCTCCCCGACCAAGAAGGCGACAACGAGTTTGGGTGAGACGGGCGAGAGTGAGGCGACGGCAGCATCGAGCTCAGCTGGGGCGGCGAGGTCATCATCATCATCGGCAGGACGGACAGCCGTCGACGTTACTGCGCCACCGCCTAATGACCATGTGGCATACGTTCATAAGCGGCTGGCAGATGCTCGTGGAGGTCACGCAGCGCTGGAAAAGTTTGAAGAGTCGCGGGCACGGATGACGGTGGCACAAGCGGATCGGGAAGAGAAGCATCGTTCTCGGCTCATCCAACGGCTTGGTGGTGCGGTGGCCACTTCTCAGGCCCTGGTTGAACTGCTTCAAAAGCATGCAGCTGGAGCGAGTGCCATGGCTGACATGCTGAAGGAGACGGCGGCAGCAGCGGCTCGCATCGAAGATCTCGGCTCAATCGGTGCCGCCTTGGCTGCCCTCGGCTCGGCCGATCTCACCTCGCTGGCGGCGTACGAAGAGTACGCCGCGCTGCTGGCGAGTGAGCTCATTCCGCGTGCAAAAGCTCTGGCCAAATCGACCGCTGCTACCGCGAACAAGCTCGGAAAGGCCATCGCGGCGGCAACCAACAAGCTCGGTGACGCCCGGGCTGCGCTCGATGCGCACTACGCCCGCCACGCCAAGGTCACCCAATTCCGCGACGAGGCATCAGCGTCGGCCAAGGCCGCCAAGGCCGCCGATCCGTGGCTCACCCAGCACGAGTACAAGCAGAGCCTTCGGTCTGCCCGCAAGGCCGAGTCGGCCTACCGCCACACCATGGGCGCCCTCTTTGTCAAGTACTCTGAGCTCGAGGTCGAGCGCGGCGCGGCGCTCAAGACCATCCTCGATGACATGGCCACCGCCCGCAAGGTCCTCCACCTCAAGGCTTCGGACGCGCTAGCCGAGCCCAAGGCCCTCGCCCGCGCCATCAACGGCCAGGCTGATGTCAACGCCTTTACCAAGAAGAGCTTTACCGAGCCGCCCGTCCCCGACGTCACCAAGGGCTCGCGCTACCTCAAGTTTAACTCGCCGCACATCCTCAAGCACGGCATGCTCTCGCTCCAGCGCGGCACCGTCTTTACTTCGTGGAAGCCACACCTGTTTGTACTCTCGTGCTACGGCTACCTGCATCACTTTCCGCCCGACAAGACCCCGTCTGATCTCGCCACCCTTGCTCCCGAGCTCTCGCTCTACCTTCCAGCATACACGCTCCGCCCGGGCCCGCACCCCAAGGCCGGCGAGTGCGCCTTTGAGCTCCGCCAGCGTGAGAGTGGTTGGTTTACCTCGGCGAAATCCACCGTCATTAAGGCCTCGTCCGTCTCGGAACGTATCGCCTGGGAAGCTTCTCTCCATGCCGTCATGCATGTTCACACGTCATCGCCGTCGTCGTCGACAGCGTGAGCCAGAATGAACCGACACCACGCCCTGCACAGACAAAGCTAAGACGACGACGAGTCTGAGCTTCCTGACGACGAGTCCGAGCCACTACCCGAGCTCGATCCACTCCCACTTCCAGAGTCCGAGCCCGAGCCTGAGCTCGCTGACACCGCCCCGGGGGTGGCCGGCGCCGGCGGCGGCGCCACCTCGGGCAACTTGCTTCCCGGCGGGCGTGGCATCGGCCGCGGCCGCTTCTTCCCTGGCGACGGCGTCTCCGCGACTGTCGGGTTGGGCGGCAGTGGCTTCGGCTGCGCGACCATGGTCTCGACCTCGGCCTCGGCTTCGGCTTCTGCCTCTTCAGCAAGAAGCTCGCCCTCTCCAACCCCATACTCACCGCGCAGGAACGACTCGATCAGCAGATCATTCTCGTCGATGTCGACCTCGGCATCAGCCTCATTTGGCACAACCATCGTTGCCAGCTCGCCGCCTGACGAGCTCTGCCCGCCGTCACAACTTGCTCCGCCGTCTGCGACATCAGCTCCGTCCTCGCTGCCTCCCGACGACGACTCGGAATCGGTGTCAAACGTGCGGTTGGCACCAGCCAGCGAGATCGATGACGTGTTGAGCTGGCCCTGATCGCCACCGTCGGTGCCCGTCTCGGTCGGAAGATTCAGCACCAAAGCCTGGGTTTCAGCCTCGACCTCAGCCTCGACCTCGGCCTCAACCTCGGCCTCGACTTCAGCCTCGACCTCGGCCTCGACCTCGGCCTCAACCTCAGCTTTGTCCTCGGCCTCAATCTCGGCCTCAACTTCAGCTTCGTCATCGGCCTCGACTTCGGCCTCAACCTCAGTCTTGATCTCGGCCTCAACCTCGGCCACATCCAACTCCAGCTCCACAACTTCGGCCCCTGACGCCTGCGCTATCAAACTCAGCTCGGCAGAGCTCGAGATCACCTCCGCTGCAGCCTCGCCGAGGCTTCCGGCTTGCTCACTGTCAGTCTCGAGGAGGCCACTCAGCACAGCCTCGCCGTGCGCCGAGAGGACCGGCTTGACTGCCAGCTCGATGCCGCCACTACTAGCGCCAGCGCCCCTCCCATTCTCCAGTCCGCCCTTGGCGTCTTCCGGAAGCCAGACCGACGACTTGCGCGGGCGCGACGGAAGGATCCGCGCCGACGACGCTTTGCCGCGGACTCGGCGGTCAAAGGCAAGACCGTCGGTCTGGGTTCGGAACAGCTGGCCGAGCTTGGTCACCGCTGCCGTAACCAGCGCGTTGCGTTCACGCGTAGCCGCCATCGGCTTGAAGAACTTCAACCCGCTTCGTCCGCTCCCGTGCAGCGCCTGGTACGAGTGCATCTCGGCCACGTACTCAAAGTGGAACACATCGCTTGACACCTCGTCCGGCGCCCGCGAGTGCACGTACTCGACAAGCTCACCCACCACGCTCGCCGACATGGTAAAGAGCGCGTCAACTGCAAACGACGCCATCCGCTCAAAGTGGTCCGCCAGCAGCTCAAAGTGCTCGTACGCCTGCAGCAGACCCACAAGCACGTGGCACTCGCGCGCCACCCACGACCGCTCGCCGCCCTCTAGCAGCCGCACAAGCAAGTCCACCACAAACTCGTACGACGCCTGCGACGGGCACAGACCCACCATCAGCTCGCAGAACCGCGGTAGGAACGCCTCCCGCACCTCGGCCGCCACCAGCTGCTCGTCGTCCTCCACGTCGTCAGATAGCGCGAGCACGTGCTTCCCGCCGCCGCCCGCCGCTGCCTCCTCTCGCCACACCTCGCACACAAGCGCCTTCATCTGCAGCAGGACGCCGCGCGACTCGGCCTGTGCCTCGCCCTGCGCCTCCACAAACGCGTCGACGAAATTCACAAACCGCGTCGCCGGCCCGGCCATCGCCTTGCCGCCCTCGCCCGCCCCGCTCACAGAGCCCGAGCTGCCATTGCGCTCTAGGCCTTCGCTGCTGCCGTCGTCACTGGCCTCTGGCCGCGCAAGCAGCAGCGCAAGGGCGTGGAGCACAAGGACCGTCACCACTAGCGAGTTGTCGTTGACCAGCGTGCCGGCGTGCTGGATGGCCACAATCTCGAAGAACGCAAAGGCCTCCACTGCCGTCGTGTCCGCCGTCAGCCCCAGGAACAGCGCGCGCGCAAGCGTCGAGTCGTCTCCGAGCTCCGCATCGTGCCAGATGGCCGCAAACCGCGGAATGACTCGCTCCGCGCCGTACAGCTCCACGCCCGTCGACAGAATCAACATCGCCGACGCGTAGTTGCTCACCACCGGTGAGCGGACGAGAATGGCCGCCACATCGAGTGCCATATTGACCAGTCCATCCGACGCACCTTCGTCGCGCACAACCTTGGCCAGCAGCCGGCACACTGCGTCGACGCGCGCAAACTGGCCAAACCGTAGCGCAAGCATCGAGTTGAGCCCCAGATTGACCACCACCCGCTCGTCGAGATGCCGCACAATGATCGAGTACAGCGCCAGCGATCCGACCGCGAGCTTCTCGTCGGCCTCCTGTGTCCCCCACTGAAGGGCAACTCCGGCCCACGCATCCTGAAACTTGGCGTCGCGCCCGTTGAGCACCCGCACAAGCTCAAGCACCGTGCTCGACGTCGACTCGTCGACTCGCCCGGTCCCGTTCGACAGCTGCGCCACGCCCAGTCCGGCCACGCCGCGCATCTGCTCAAACAGCGTCGCGCCGGCCTCAAACTGCAGCGTGGAGACTGCGTGGCAGATGCCAAGCGAGTGCACCACGTTGCGAACAAACACCTCGCACTCGGGCCGCTCCGTTCCGTACACCACCAACGCAAGCTGGAGCAGGTGTGGCAGGTGAGGCAGGAACCGCAGCGCCTGCTCAAAGATGGTCTCTTCCAGCAACGCAAAGAGCGCAAACTGCTGCTTCCGCGAGAGCGCTGCCCCGCCACCAACAACAGCACTTCCCTCCAGCAGTGGTTGGACGTGCGCCACGTACGCGTTGCCGTCAAGTTCGATGGCAAACGTGTGCCGTGAGAAGAACCGCATCAAGCTCCGCGAGAGCGCTTCCACCGCGTGTGTTCGCGAGAGCACCACCGTCACGTACGTCGCTACCCGTTGGTCGTCCTTCAGCTCCATCTGCCGCGCCTCCAGCGATGCCTCATACCGCGAGAACAAGAACGTCACCACCTCATCCATGACATTCTCCAGCACCCACCGCTCCATCCCACGGAGCGCAAGCGACCACACCCGCTCGATGACCGGAAGCAGCGGCGGCGTGCCCTTGACGGCAGCCTTGGTCAGCTCAAACATCGACGAGAGCAGCATCTGCACAGAGTCGGAGATCGAGCCCGCGTTCCGGGCCACCACTACCGCCCCGTCCGGCGGTCGCGTCCACGCACTGCCAGGCTCCGGCTTCCACGCCTCGGTGTCCGACGTCGCCGCCAGGGTCCCGAGGTGGTGCGCCCACGGTGCGAGCAGCTGCAGCGCGTTCAGCAGCTCCTCGTACGTCCACAAGTTGAGATACTGCACCGCTTGGCCAAAAAGCTCGAGCGTGAGCCACGGGTATCGCTCCGCAAGCGCCTTAGAGTACGCCACCGCCACCCCGATGTACGTCGACGCGTTCGAGTTGGAAATGACAGGCAGGTGTGTGCCGACCTCCAGCTGCGCCACCGGCGACCGCGCGAGGCCAGACGCAAGCTTGAGCCCGAGCACACGGGCCCGCTCCGAACCCGAGCACAGCGCCACAAAGGCGAGGTAGACGAACCGCCCGAGCGGCGACCGGTTGTTGAGGTGGACGTCGAGCCGGTCACGGTCAATGATCTCTGCTGTCACAACCTGTAGGAACAGATCCTTGTTCTCCGGAAACGCTAGGAAGAGTTCCTTCCCATCTGGACCGTCCATGGGCACCTCGCGCGTCTCGTAGCAGTTGAGCACGTAGTAGCCAAGCAGCTCGGCGTTGTTGACCAGCAGCTCTGCGAGCGCGCCCACCGCGTAGCCGTGCACGTGCTCGCCTCGCATGCCCGCCAGCGAAAGCTCAGCAAGTACCTCCTGCTCCAGTGACGGCTCCAGCCCATCGCGCGCAGACATGACCAGCGCGCTCATCCCCGCCATCACATGACTCTCGAGCTCTACGTTCGACGCCACTTCCTGCGCCCGCGCCGAGCCGAGCGGCGTCAGCAGCGCCCGCAGAAAGTTGAACACCACCCGCGGCTCGGTGTCGACAAGCGCAAACTGCAGGTGCCGAGAGAGGACCGCCGCCACCTGGATCCGCAGGCTGATCGGCGTGCTCTCCGCCGTCCACTGGTGCGCGTTGGCAAACCAGCCTGAAACAAACGAGCTCACCGCAAGCGAGAGCGGCGACGAGAGGTACAGCTCCGGCCGCTTCACAAGCGCCCGTGAGAGCGCCGCTATGAGCCTCAGCGACCGCTCGTCCGCACCAAGAACAGGAACTTCGGCGTCCGGCGTGCCAAGCCGCAACGCCTTGGCCCGCGCCTTGTCTTTGACCAGACTCGCCTTCAGATGGGTCTCCATCCGGCTCAGCAGCTCGCCGTGCGTCGAAATATGCAGGTGTTCGGCAGCATCGAGGAGAATGTCGACGACCGCGTCGACGGGCGAGAACACACGCTCCGCCACAATAGTAAGAAACTCGGAGATGAGGACCGGCGAGAGAATGTCAAAGCCGTGCATGCCGCCTTCGCCTCCTGCTGCACCTTCGGACCGTGCCGCAGCCATGGCTGCAGACAGCGACGACGACGAGTGGGAGTGCTGCAGCGACGGCGCATTGCGAAGCGCGTCGGCCCCGGCTGCAGAGCGCACCCCAGCGCAGAGCCAGCGCACATGCGACGACCACATCGGAAGCGCCGCCTGCAGAACCCTGGGCTGCTTAACCAGCACCGCGTCTGGCGCAAGGTCCCACGAAAGCGCCACAAGCTTGGACCAGCCGAATGCGATGGCATCGGCGTGCGCAAACCACGCGTGTGCGAGCAAGTCACGGAGAGCGGTCACCCACGGCGCCTGGTCGGCAGCAACCTCCAACGGCGGGATCTCCAGCGTGTCGACAAGCCATGCGTGCTCGGAGAGGTCAAGCGCGGCCTCCAGTTCGCGGAACGCCGGCCGCGAGAGCGTCACCAGCAGTCGCGCCACCTCGGACCGGACCCAGTGCTCGTGGTGGGTGAACCAAATGAGGACCACACCCTCCATCGACGACCGCAGCTTGGCCACGTCCGTCGAGCTCAGCGCCTGCGCAAGCACCGCAGTGCCCTTGGCTTCGAGAATCTCCGAGAGCGTGTCAAGAAGGAGGTTGAGGTTCTGGAAGGCGCGAAGGAGCGACTCCTCGACAAGCTTGTCAAAATCGGTGAGGATGATGGTAAGCGCCGAGAGGATGACAAACGCAAAGTCGCCCGGCGAGAGCAGCATGTGCGCCTGGACAGAGAGCACCGCCGCCGCGGAAACTTGCCGATTCGGGTGAGTCGTCAGGTACGCAATCCGCCGCACAAGGTCGCGCTGCCGGAGCGGATCCGACTCGGACACCGCAGGCATGGCCCCGATGACCGCCGCAAGCAGCGGGTAGTCCTTGGCCTCGATGTTGGACGCCGAGAGGACCGTGTCGCAAAACCCGATGAGCGATGGCGACGCGAGCGAAACCGCGTGCGCAGCCTCAGGCCCGTGCTCCTTGGCCAAAAGGTGGAGCGACGACATGGCCACCGCCTTTTGGTCGTTCGAGTAGTTGGCCGACGTCGACGGCGCCGAGCACATCGAGATGACCAGCGCGAGCCCGAGCTTGATCGACACCGCACCGACGCCGACCAGGAACCGCTCCAGCAGGCCCTCGGTACCCTTGACCGACGCCTTTTTGGCAAAGAGCGCCGCAGCGAGGGTGTGGACGTGGTTGGCAAACTCGTTGCGCAGCGGCTCATCCGACAGTTCCGGCCTCCGCTCTTCCACAAACAGGCATGCCAGCTCAAGGACAAGCGGGCGGAGCGACTTGTCCTTGGCGTGGGCCACCAGCGCCTTGACCAGCGCGCCCGAGTATGCCAGCCAGAGCGCCGGCGACGCAAAGTTGACGAGGGTGGTGAGGAGCGGGAGAACAAAACTGATGTGCTTCTTGGTCTTGAGCCACTTGAGCACAACCTCGATGATGGCCTCGTAGCAGGTCCAGAATGGCTTGGCCGTCTCGGCCGAGCCAAGGAACGCCGCCCGCGTCGCAAGGCCCTCGCTAGTGAACCGGATCTTGCCGCCAAAGTTTTCCACAAACGAGAGCGTCGCCACCGACGCCTCAGTCGTCGACAGCAGCGCGCCTGGAGCGTCTGGCCGCGCGAGAGCCGCCCGCACAATCGACTGCAGCGTGTGGCATGTCTCCTTCTTGAGCACACCCCGCTTGCGTGCCTTGAGGAACGGCGCGAGCACGCCCAGAAAGTGGACTGACGAGCCGATCGACGCCTGCGAGGTGAGCGCAAAGTGGAGCAAGCCGAGCGAGCGCATGTAGGGCACAAACTCGCGCTCGGCCGCATCTTTCTTCACCTCGCCCATCTTGCTGAGAAAGAGCGCCACCACGTCGTTGAGCCGGTACTTGGAGAGCGCCTGTAACGCAAGTCGCGCCTGATGCTGAATGGCGGGCGTGTACGCAAAGAACAAGTACTTGAAGGCAAAGTTGAAGAGCGCGTCTGGAATCGCCGCCGACGCCGCCTCGCCCGCGGCGTTAACTCGGCGAACCACGCCCACAAGCGACCGAAGGACCGCATACTCGACCGAATCGTCGTCGGACCGGTCGTCAATGTCATCTGGCCGATCTTCCTTGGTCGGCATCGACACGTTGTCCGAGACCTCGGACGGGTACTTGGCCGCCACTCCCATCAGGAACGTGGCGATGGCCTCGACATGACCAGCCGCAAAGAGGGCAATACCGCGCGAAATAGTCCGCAGCGACTTGCGCACATCTGCCGCAGCCTCCGCCTCCGACTTTTTCACCACCTCACCACCCCCGTGCCCATCATCGAGACCAGCACCAGTTGGCGAGCCCGACGCAGCCGAGAGGCCCACCTTGCGCTTCTCAGCCGAAGAAACTGGAGTACTTGAACCAGATCCACCTGGACCACCTTCAGGACTTGTTGTTGTTGGAGCTGCTGCTGTTGTTTTTGCTACTGCTGCTGCTGTTGCTGCTGTCGATGGTGATGATGATGATGATGGTGGCGTGCTAGGAGCTGTGCCTCCAACTGAGCTGGTCTCCCTCTCTCCAGACTCGTTGGTGAACTGGAGGGCAGCCCTCCTTTGCATGGCCCTCCTCTGCACAATGAGCCCTTCAAACTGCTTCAACACATTGTCCACATACTCTTGTGAGGACATAGTTACTCGAGAGTTAGAGTACAGAGACTGAGTGAGAGAGGTGACCAGATAGCATACCCTTGGCCGCTCGCTTCCCTGCCCCCCTACCTCCCCCCCCCGTGTTCCGGGTGTGTGACATCATGTTCGCCTTGGATCGGACACTCGCCATTTCGCCTCCGCCGCGCATAACCGGTGTGCCGCAGAGAAGGGATGATCAGCAGCTGAGAGGTTTGATCAGATGCATGGAAATCAAGTAAGTTGTCTACTTTAGTCTCTGGCGTCTGGTGTATATTGTGCTTGCCTTTGAGTGGCTGAGTGGCTGTGATCGTCGTCGTAGTCGTCTTGGAGCTGGAAACAGCGCACCTGTTCATCGGTGCGAGAGACTGACGATAACACAGCAATACCAAGAGCCGATTGAGGGCGATGATACGTGACCTCGCCTCGTATCCATTTCTTCGATTGCTGAGCCATCTGAGCCATCATCAAACACAATCCCCCATCCAACCTCAACTACATCCATCACGTACTCCCCTTATCTCTCAAGCCTGTACCCCTCCATATGTGTGTGGCGATAGGGGGGGGGTGCAGGCGGTGCAGCCGTTCGCCCTGACAACCATGGCCTTTTCAGGCGACTGGTTGAGGGAGAGCAAGAAGGTCAGACGGCAACACTTGTCCACATACCCACGGCTTTGGGGCCCTACCTCTTCGCATAACCTTTGTGACTGGAGTTGTTGACCTTGTCCTTGGAAGTCTTTGGTGGAACTGTGTTTCTGGCCGAGGCAAGAGGGGAGAGACCCAAGAGCCAACCATTGCGACCAACGAGAGCTTGTTGTGTGCCAGTGTCAGGGCGTGAAAGGAGGAGGGGGGAAGAGGGCGTGTGTGTGTGTGTGTGTGTGTGTGATCAACGAGGAGGAGGACTTTATCGTCAAGCTCATCATCGCCAACCTCATATCATCGTCAACCTCATCATCGCCAACCTCATATCACCGTCAACTTCAACGTCAACGTCAACGTCAACGTCAACGTCAACATCAAACGTTATTGTCATCGACAACATCAACATCGTCGTCAATTGCATCGTCAACTGCATCGACATCGCCATCTTTATCATCACCTGAATCGTCATCGACAAACATCGCATTCATCATGAACGTGGACCTGTTTGTGGGGCATGTGCTCTACGCTATCAATCACTCTGCAAAGTGTGGGGACTCGGTCTCGAGGAACCTGCACTCGGGTTCGCCTACTTCGGCGACAAACACTCTTGCCTACGGCCATACTCTGCCTGCTGACCAATCGTACTTTGAGCCTGTTCTCGAACCTGCGTCGGTGTCGAGGACCGAAAAGATCAAGGCCGCCAACAAGAGGAGGAAGAACCCAAAGCGGACAACGACCATTGTCTCGTTTACTTCGTCATCCTCGCCTGCAAGCGGCTCTCCTGATACCCACTCGGGCCTCTCTGATGCTCCACTAACGAAGAAAGCCCTCCCGCCGCGTAGTCAGCGGACCAAGGCGCTGCCGATGCAATCGGCGCTTGCTAGGTCTGTCGACGGTGACCTGATCGAGGTGCGGGTGTGGGTTGTGGTGGGCGGGGCGCGTAAGCCGTCGACTCCGCCGCTGGTTTTCAAGCTCCCGTCGATGTCGACGATGGCCAAGCTTGCCGCGCGGGCCGTGGAGCTGTACTCGCGGGCGGGCCACGCCCCGGCGCTGGTGCACACCTCACCGCTCGGGTACGTCATGCGGCTGGCCGAAGACGAGACGGGCCTCCCCGAGTTGGACTTTCCGGCGCTCGACCGCGCGCAGCTGCTATCGGTCATGGGAACCACCGAGTTTGTGCTGTGCGACAACCCGAACGCCGAGGCCGACATTGCAGCCGAGTCGTCGAAGCGGCTGGAGGACGCCAGGACGACGCGGCTCGGCGCCGGGCGGACGACCAAGCGGCGGGTGACTGCGGGCCGCCGGGCGCTCACAGTTCACTCTGTGCACGGCTCGGATCCTGCGGCGCCAGACATGGACACGGCGGCGTTTGCTGGCAAGAACGTGCGAATCCGCATCCACTTTCCCAACGGCGCAGCGTCGGTGCTCATGTTCGACGCCGCCATTTCTATCCAGCAGCTACTCAAGATTGCGTCCAACAAGCGGACGACCCACCTGGAAGACTGCACTGTGCACCGAACAGAGGACGGGCCCGAGGTGGACAAGCGGACGCCGCTCGGCATGATTCCCAAGCTCTCGGAACTGTTCCTTAAGAGCGGCGGACTCGCCCGCCGGCGCGGAACCATCGGCTCGCGGTCGGGCTCGGTCGCCGCTTCCACCAACGACAACACACTTGCGCCTCCATCGTCGGACGGGCAGCGGTCACGGTCGTCAACACTCACCTCGCCATCGCCGCTCCAATTTCAGTTCTCCGAGTTTACCGCCATCATGTACAAGGAGTACGCGCTCGTCAAGATCAACAAGGCCGGGCGCCGCCAGCAGCGGGTCCTCGGCATCGATGGCGACCGCCTCCACAACAAGACCATCCAGCAGGCCGCCGGCAAGAAGTCTTCCAAGTTTGGCAAGCTCTTCAAGTCTGGCGAGGTCAAGCGACCGTACCGCGAGTGGTCCGAGGTTCTTCAGATCGAGCGTCTTAACGAGCTCGAGTTTGTCATCTCTTTCATCGACAAGTCGTCCAACCACTACGAGGCTGAGACCGTTGCCCAGGCCGATGAGATACTCGCCAAGCTCACCGTTCTTTTTGAGCGCCGCGTCTAATCCCATCTAACTTTCTTCCTTCATCCATGCTACTTTCTTTCTTGATAAAGCCCCCCATCGCATCACCAAGCCGATCACTCGCCGATGTGACGACTGGCCACCTCGTATCCTCGCCCTGCATCCTTTGCTTTACAACTCATGTCTTTCGACTGCAAGAATAGCCGTCCAACTTCTACCTCCCATCGCGTCTTTGTCGACGAACCACTTTTCGTCCGTCGTTGGCTGCCACCTGGCAAAAACCGCCGCCACCTTGAGTGAAGACTGGCCAACCACCGCCCGTCGGCCGCCCGCTGCCACCCGGCCGCCACCCGCTCGGCACTCACCAAACGACACGAGGACGACCACCACCCAGGCCCACGCCCACCGCCCACCACCACCTCACCCACCAGACACACGACACCACTTGTCAACCATTACTATTGTTGAAGTAGCTGAGGAATGAGCAGCCAGCACCCACCCAGTGGTTCAGCTGGTGCTACCCAAGGCGGACGTGGTCGGTCCGAGACCTGCTCGAGGACGTGGCACTGGTCGTGGTGGTCTTGGTCGTGGTGTCGGTCGTGGTGGTCGTGGTGGTCGTGGTGGTCGTGGTGGTCGTGGTGGTCGTGGTGGACAAACTGGCTCTCGCCAACCACCGCCACCGTCTGCCACTCGTCGTGTCCAACCGGGTATGGAAGGCCATTCAATCGTTGGTGGTGAGCTGCCTGCCTCTTCTCAGACGCGAACTCGCCCGCCCATGATGCGCCCGCCCTCCGCCGCTACTTCTCGTCCGCCCTCGGCTGCTACTTCTCGTCCGCCCTCCGCCGCTACTTCTCGTCCGCCCTCCGCCACTACCTCTCGTCCGCCCTCTGCTGCTACTGCTTCTCGCCCGCCTACATCGCGCCCGCCTACATCGCGCCCGCCTACATCGCACCCGCCTACATCGCGCCCGCCTACATCGCGCCCGCCTACATCGCGCCCGCCTACATCGCACCCGCCTACATCGCGCCCGCCTACATCGCACCCGCCTACATCGCGCCCGCCTACATCGCACCCGCCTACATCGCGCCCGCCTACATCGCACCCGCCTACATCGCGCCCGCCTACATCGCACCCGCCTACATCGCGCCCGCCTACATCGCACCCGCCAACCGTTGGTCCGCCGTCTACACATGTCGCGCCTACAACACACGGCATCCCCTCATCTTCCAGTCCCGACGGACCATCAGCGTCTGCGTCCGGCCCGCGCGAGCTCACAAAGGCGGAGGAGGAGATGCTGCAGGAAAAGTTCGGCGAGAAGCGTGTGGCGCCGTCGGCAAAGGCCGGTCTGCCGGCGCCGGTTACCGATGCCGAAAACTTGCGACAGGACGTCGTGTACACCACAGGGCGCGGGCTCCCGCCTCCGCGGGCGGTCACCCGGCACACCGTCATCGACGGCGGGTCAGCCTCGCCGCGCTACATGCGTTCTTCCATGTACACGCTGCCGTCGGAGAAGAAGCTCGCCGAGCTCATCGGAGTCCCGCTGGGCGTGGTTGTCTCGCCGCTAGCGGTGGCCGACGACACCGGTCCGCTGCCGCGGGTTGACACTCGCCAGATTGGCGGGCCGATTCGCTGCTCACAGTGCGGGGCGTACATCAATCCGGGTGTGCTCTGGCTCGACGGCGGCCGCTCGTTCGGCTGCAACTTTTGCTCGGCCTCGACCGCCATCCCGCGCGAGTACTTTGCCAATCTCGACAGCGCTGGCCTCCGCTCCGACCTCGCCGACCGGCCCGAACTCCGCCTTGGCTCGGTTGACTACATCCCGACCGAAGAGTACGAGCTCCGCCCCGCGCGCTCGCCGCACCTCGTCCTCTGCATCGAAGCTTCGTCTGTAGCAGCCGCGTTTGGCCTCGTCACCACCGTCTGCTCCGCGCTCCGCCAGCTCCTCGACCGTGTCGCCGCTTCGCCGCCAGGCGCACTGGACATTGCCCACTCGCGCATCGCAGTCATTGCCGTCGCGGGCTCGCGCGTTCTCTACTTTCAGCTCCGCAACGCGGCCGGCGAACCGTCGATGTCGGTCAAGGCTCTCTCGGTCGTTGCCGCCAAGGCCGACGATGTCTTTGCGCCGCTCCCCACTGTCGCCGCCTTTGCCTCGCTCGCCGATGACGCCGACGCGCTCGCCACTCTGGCCGACGAGCTGCCGGACCTCTTTGCCACCGCGGTTGGATCGCTCGTCGACCCACACGTCTCGCCCAAACTCGATCTTGCCGTCGCGCTCCAGGCTGCGCAGTGCCTGCTCATTCCGCGTGGCGGGCGAGTTGCCCTCTTCCTCACTTCACGCCCGCGTTGTGGGCCCGCTAGCCTCGACGACCGGGATCCGATGGCCAGGCCGGCCGTCTCAGACGCAGCCATCGCGGCCAGGCTCGCGCCCAGCTCCGAGTGGTACGCAAACAAGGCGAGCGAACTCGTCCGCCAGCATATCTCGGTCGATCTCTTCCTCCTCCCGCGTGGCTACCTTGACGTGACCACCCTTTCCCAGCTCGCCGCGCTCACCGGCGGCGACTTGCACGTCTTTGAGCACCACCATCCGCGCTTTGACGCCGAGCGCGTTGCCCGCGAAATTACAGCCTCGCTTGCCGTTCCCTTTGGCTACGAGGGTGCGCTCCGCCTCCGCGCCTCTGAGGGCCTCAAGATCGACTCGTACATGGGCCACGTCCTCCCACAGAACCCGCCGCCGCAAGTCATCCTCGCCGGCATCCGCGCCCACGTCGCGCTCTCGGTCAACCTCTCGTACGCCGCCGACGAACTGCCGCCCGCTGATCCAGCCTGGCTCCAGGCATCGCTCCTGTACACTGCGTCCGACGGAACCCGCCTCCTCCGTGTCCACACCCTCCGACTGGAGACCTCTGCTGATCCAGCAGACGTCTACCGCGGTATCGACGTCGAGACACTTGTCGCCCTGCTTGTCCGCTACGCCGCTGCTGGCCTGGTCAAGGGCAAGAGCGAACTCACCGCGCTCCGCCAGCGTCTCACCGCCCGCACCATCGACATCCTTGCTGGCTACCGCCTCCTCCTCGCCAGACGCGTTCCGCCAGCCAAGCTCATCCTGCCCGACTCGCTGCAGCTCCTCCCGTCGTACATTCTGATGGCCCTCAAGCTCCCAGCGCTGACCAAAGAGCCCATTCGCTCCGACGCACGCGCTACCTCATGTGCCTTTGTTGTCTCGTCCTCGGTCCTTGCCCTCATCCGCAAGCTCTACCCGCGACTGCTCCGCCTGGACAAGATTGAGCGTGGCGCAGATGGCACTCCGCGTGCACTGCACCTCTCGCGCGAGGTCCTCTCTAAGCGCGGTGTTTACGCCTTCGTCTCGGATACCCTCCTCTGGCTCTGGGTTGGGGCGTCGGCATACCGCCACGTTTTGGTCGACCTCTTTGGCGTTGGCACGCTCGCCAGCATCCAGCCAATGTCCTGGCTCGCCAGTCGCGACTCGGACCTCTCGCGCGAGGCGTGCGCCGTTCTCACCAACCTCCGCGCCGAACTCGAGGCCGAGCTAGGTCGCTCGCCACAGTTCCGCGTCATCCGCGCTAGGGATGGCATGGAAACCAGGCTCCTCAACATGTGCACAGAAGACATGCTTGTTGGCGGCGGCGTCTCGCCGAGTTCGCAGTCCATCTCATACGTTGACTACGTCCGCATCATCCATTCGGGCATCCAGAAGCGGATCAAGGCCGAGAACGAAAAGCAGCAAAAGGGCAAGTAAGACGAGAGGCGGCTTTGTCCAAGCTTCGCCTGCTACTCGCTCGCTGCCAGCTCGTCCGCGTACGGCTTGTCCTGCCATAGGTACGAGTTGTCCGCCGAGTACGGAAGCTGGGAAAAGAGCGTCCGCTGGTAGCCGGTGAGAAGACGGGTAGCAAACGCCGAAAACGGCCACATGCTGCCGCCCATGCCCATGACCACGTCGCGCACTGGCGCCAGCGGAACGAGCCGCGACTGGAACAGCGGCGTGAGTAGGTGTGACATCCGCTGGTAGAACGCCGTCTGCGGCTTGCGGATCCGGGTAAAGTACGCAATCCGCTCCGGAATCGCCGCCGACATCGCCTCGTGCCCGTCGCTCCACAGCGAATCGAGGACGTAGTTGAGGCACGACGCATCGATGAGCGCCATGTTGGCTCCCTGGCCCAGCTGAGGCGACGTCGCGTGAGCATGATCGCCCATAAACACTGTACGCCCGCAATGGTACACATTCATCCGTACATCCGAGTACGACGCGTATGTTAGCTGATCCATGGACGTCAGCTCCTCCAACAGCGGCGCCGCCCGCGGTTCAAGCGCCTCCAACCGGCCCTTGAGGCCCTCTAGCGACATAGCCTCCAGCTCGTGGCGGCTCTCGGCGCGCAGCGACCAAAACATTGAGACCAGCGGTGGCGTATCCGGTGGTGTGAGCTGCGGCATGCCCATCTCTCCTGTCTCGGACGCCGAGTATTCCACGAGCCGCCCAGTTGGCATGAACCCGAGCATTGTCCGCGTATCGCGATACTGCTGGACAAGAACGTCATCAAACGCTCCCTGCTTGTCCTCCAAGATGGCCCACAACGCGCCCCAAGGGTACACTCGCGAGTAATCGAGTGTCTCGGGTGGAGAGAGCCGCTTCGAGTTTGCGCCGGCCGCCACTACGCACAGATCGTATCCGGCGCTATCCCCGACCGTGTTCCCGTCGCTCCCGACCAAGCGGGCCAGACTATCGTCCGATCCGTACTCAACTCTGTCAAGGCCAACGCCCCAGTGAAATCGGACCGCTTCCTCTCCCAGCTTGGACTTGCTGCGCGCCCGTGCGACGGCAGCGTGCAGGGACGAGGCCAGAGTGGCGCGATGGATGCCGATGCCGTGCGCATCAGGAGCTAGCGAATTGTATCGCACCCGAACCACCGGCAAACCCCAACCATTTCGGCCATCAAGTTCGGTCACGTGTGCTCCAGCACTCTCTGCCACCTCGCGGACTCCAAGCTCGGTCAGAACAGACGCGCCTGTTGGCTGAAGCAGCAGTCCGGCGCCGACTGCTGCCGGTGCTGCCACTCGGTCAAAGACCTCGACGGCGGCACCAGCCCGAGCCAGAAGCGCCGCAGTTGCCAGACCTGCTGTTCCTGCTCCGACAACAGCCACACGAAGTGCCATGCCACTGGAGGTACGGGATGACAGTCGAGTGTGCTGGTCTTGGCTTGACTTGCCACCGCTGCCGCACGACGCGTCGAGCGAAAAAATTTATTCTATTTCAAAGGCTGCAGAAGAATCTAGAGAGCAGCGCATCGGGCGCTTTCTTTTTCTCCCTACGCAAGGGCGGTAGGTGTGACAATCACTGGTTGGTGGAGGGTAAGGATGATGCCAGGGTGAGGCAGTCTGAGTGGGACTCGCCATGGATGGCAAGCTGAAGATAAGCCGAAAGTGTCGGAGTTTCTTTTTCTCCCAGGCAAGCCGCACCTTGTGTTGCGAAGTCTCACATAATCTGGGATCCACAACCACTCCAACAGCCCCACGAGCTAGTCGACGACCTCCGCACCTACCCTTCTTACAATACAAAGATCTCTACACACACTCTCTCCCTCGCCTTCCCACAAATCCCACGCCTAGTTACTGTCGATAGTTTCAGCAAACCGGAAAAAAATTGAACATGTCCAACACAGACACTCCTCACCTCCTTACTCTTCACACACACACACACACACACGTACACACATACATATGCATGTAGATACATCACAGCCAAAACCATAACTACATATAGGCCAACCCTTGTCCTTTCAGCCAGACATGCCAGCCAAATGCGAAGTAGAGTGGAGGGGAAGGTGCGCCGGCAAAAAACGGTGCTCCTCCCACGAGACCAAAAAATAGTACAGTTGTACGTCCGCCGCAATGCCACGTCAGACCGACTAGAGAGAGTGAGCGAGAGAGTGAGCAAAGGGTGGCGTGACTGCAGCACGGTGACTTGCCCAGCTTGCATTGACGGAGATAGGCATAGGGATAGGGATACACTTGACGGTGTTTGTGAAGCAGGTAGTCCTGTACTATGTTGCGTGCGGCTGCAAGCGTGTGGCGTAGTGGCGGAAGAGGTCGCGCTGTACTCGCCCGAACTGGTCTGGCCTGGCCTGGCGCTGGGAGCTTGGGCATGGGCATGACTCAGGCTGGCGCTGGCGCTGGGCCTGGCGCTGGGACGGCTGCTGGCGCAGGTGGCGCGTGGCAGACTATGAATCTGATTCGGGCACTGAGCAGCGGAGGACATTGTTGGAATGCCACTGATTTTACCTTTGGCATTGATCGTGGCGGAACGTTTACCGATGTGTATGCCGAGTGGAAGAGAACGGCTGAGAACAAGGACTACGCTCACACCTCGTCGACGGTCATCAAGCTCCTCTCCGAGGATCCTGCAAACTATCCCGACGCTCCGCGGGAGGGAATTCGTCGCGTTCTGGCGGCTGTTCGTGGAGAGGTGCTCGACCCAGAGCTTCCAGTCCCATCTGACCACATTGCTGAGATCCGCATGGGCACCACTGTGGCCACAAACGCGCTCCTTGAGCGCAAGGGCGAGCGCATGGCTCTGGCAGTCACCAAGGGCTTCCCGGACCTGCTGCTCATCGGCAACCAGGCGAGGCCCAACATCTTTGATCTTGCTGTCAGGAGGCCCGAGCTGCTCTACGAGCAGGTTGTCGAGGTTCCAGAGCGAGTCCGTGTTGTGACGGCCCAGGAGGTTGCCCGGGCCGAGTCACCAGCGGCCACGGTTCACCCGCCGCCAGTGGTCCAGGAAATTTCCGGCGTCACCGGCGAGACTGTCCAGGTACTCGAGGAGCTCGACGAGGCCGCGCTCACCGCCTCGCTGCAAGCTGTCTACGACTCGGGCATCCGCTCACTCGCAGTCGTCTGCATGCACTCGTACGCCTTTCCGGATCACGAGGCGCGGGTCGGCGAGCTGGCCAAGGCCATCGGCTTTGAGCACATCTCGCTCTCGTCGCAGCTCATGCCGCGGACCCGCATCGTGCCGCGCGGCTACACGGCTGCTGTCGACGCATACCTCTCGCCCGTCGTTGATCGCTACATTCAGTCGTTCTGTGCCGGCTTTGACTCGTCGCTCCTGACCAAGGTCAATGTCCAGTTCATGCAGTCGGACGGCGGCCTCGCGCCGGTCGATGCCTTTTCGGGCGTCCGGGCCATCCTCTCCGGCCCGGCCGGTGGAGTCGTCGGCTACGCCAAGACGTCGTACGGCAACCCGGCGCTCGGCGAGGCGCCCGCGCCGGTCATTGGCTACGACATGGGCGGCACGTCGACCGACGTTTCTCGCTTTGACAACGCCTTTGAGTTTGTTTACGAGTCGGAGACCGCCGGCGTGACCACTCAGGCACCGCAGCTGGACATCACCACCGTCGCCGCTGGCGGAGGCTCCAAGCTCCACTTTTCCAACTACATGTACCAGGTCGGGCCCGAGTCTGTTGGTGCCCATCCGGGCCCGGTCTGCTACCGCAAGGGCGGCGATCTCGCAGTCACTGACGCCAACCTCTTCCTCGGCCGACTCGATCCAGCCTTCTTTCCTGCCATCTTTGGTGAGTCGGAAGCCGAGCCGCTCGATTTGGCGGCGACAACCGTCGCCTTTGAGACCCTCGCCAACCAGATCAACGCTGACCTCGCCCGCGAGGCAGAGGCACTGGGCGAGACGCCCGAGGTGCAGAGCCTCGACGAGGTTGCTGCGGGCTTCCTTGCGGTTGCCAACGAAGCCATGTGCCGGCCGATCCGCTCCATCACAGAGGCCAAGGGCTACGCCACCGCCGACCACATTCTGTCTGTCTTTGGCGGCGCTGGCGGGCAGCACGCGTGCGCCATTGCCGACTCGCTCGACATGGCCTCCATCTTTATCCACCGCCACTCGGGCGTGCTCTCGGCCTACGGCATGGCCCTTGCGCCCATGGTGGCCGAGGCACAGGAGCCTGCCGCCGTCCGGCTCGCCGACCTCGCTGCCGCCGACCTTGCTGCCAAGTTTGACGCCGTCGCCGTCGATCCGCTTGCCCAGCTTGCCCAGCGCGGCTTTGAGCCCGAAGCGCTCACCCGCGAGACGTACCTCAACCTCAGGTTCGATGGCGCCGACACTGCGCTGATGATCCGCGCTGACTCGATGGAGCCGGCCGCCTTTGAGTCTGCCTTCCTCGCGCAGTACAAGCAAGAGTACGGCTTTGTCCTCGAAGGCCGCGACATCCTGGTCGATGACATCCGGGTCCGCGCCGTCGGCCTCTCGGACGCGGCCAAAGCCGTCCAGGCCGCGTCACAGGCCAAGCCGATGTCGGCCCCGGGTACGGCCCCGGGCTCACCCGAGGCCACCGTCCATACCTACTTTGCGTCGGCAGGTGGCCGGGTCACGACGCCGGTGTACAAGCTGGAAAAGCTCGCCGACTCGCGAGCCAAGCTTGCCGGCCCGGCGCTCATCATCGACAACAACGCCACCATTGTGGTTGAGCCATCTTGGGAGGCAACCGCGCTCGACGGTGGCGACCTCGTCCTGCACAAGGTCCAGATGAGCAAGGCGGCAGCGGCCAGCGCCGCCGACGCCGCCGCATCGGCTGACGTCTCGCCCATCGAGCTCTCCATCTACGCCAACCGGTTCATGTCGATTGCGGAGCAGATGGGAGTGACGCTGCAGCGGACCTCGATCTCGACCAACATCAAGGACCGGCTTGACTTTTCATGCGCCCTGTTTGGCCCCGACGGCGGGCTGGTGGCCAACGCGCCGCACGTGCCTGTCCACCTCGGCTCGATGCAAGAGGCGGTCAAGTACCAGATCTCGGCCCTCGGCGACACCTGGCGCGAGGGCGACGTGGTGTGCTCGAACCACCCGGCAGCCGGCGGTTCGCACCTGCCGGACATCACGGTCATGACTCCGGTGTTTGTAGGTGGAAACGAGAAGCCAGCGTTCTACGTTGCGTCGCGCGGGCACCACGCCGACATCGGCGGCATCACGCCGGGCTCGATGCCACCGTTTTCCAAGTCTCTCGCCGAGGAGGGTGCCGCTATCAAGTCGTTCAAGCTCGTCGACGGCGGCAAGTTCCAGGAGGACGGCATCACAGCGGTGCTGAGCAACGTCTCGGCCGAGGCAGCGGCGGCAGGCATCTCAGGCACGCGTGCGCTCGCCGACAACCTCACCGATCTCAAGGCGCAGATTGCGGCGAATCACAAGGGGATCACGCTCATGCAGGAGCTCATCGGCAAGGCCTCGCTCGACAAGGTGACGGCAGCCATGGATGGGATTCGGGCCAAGGCCGCCATGGCAGTGTCGGACATGCTCCGTGGCCTGGCGCTTAAGCACGGAGCCGATCCCAGCCCCGGCGCTTCGCCGCTCGTCCTCACCGCCACCGACTACATGGACGACGGGGCGAAGATTGCGCTTGCGCTCTCGATTGACGCCGCCACCGGACGGGCGGTCTTTGACTTTACCGGCACCTCGCCGCAGGCGCTGGGCAACACCAACGCGCCGCGGGCCATCACCCTCTCGGCAGTCATCTACGTCCTCCGCTCGTTGGTCTCGGAGGACATTCCGCTCAACCAAGGCTGCCTCGAGCCCGTGGAGGTCATCACTCCGTACGGCTCGCTGCTGGAGCCGCTGCCTGATGCTGCCGTGGTCGCCGGTAACGTCCTCGTTTCGCAACGCGTCACCGACGTGCTGCTGCAGGCCTTTGGCGCCGCCGCATGCTCGCAGGGCGACATGAACAACTTTACCTTTGGCGACGACGCCGCAACCTCGGGTGTCGAGCCCGAGTTCTCCTACGGCTACTACGAGACCATCTGCGGCGGCGCCGGCGCCGGGCCGAGCTGGGATGGCGCATCGGGCGTCCACACCCACATGACCAACACCCGAATCACTGACCCGGAGATCCTGGAGCGCCGCTACCCGGTCCTGCTCAAGCAGTTCTCGCTCCGCCCGAACTCGGGCGGCGATGGCGCGCGCCGTGGCGGCGACGGCGTCGTCCGCGTCGTCAAGTTCCTCAAGAAAACCTCAGTCTCGATGCTTTCTGAGCGCCGGGCAATGCCGCCACGCGGCGTGGCTGGCGGCAGCGACGGCGCCCGCGGCACCAACACCCTCAAGCGCGGCCGCGATGACGGCTTGGTCAACCTCGGCGGCAAGGCCTCGTTCACCTGTGAGGTCGGTGACGAGATCCACATCCACACGCCGGGCGGCGGCGGCTTTGGTCCGGCAAACGAGTAAACGAGGCTGAATGGCTGCGCTAGCGTGTCATCATGTACGTGAGCGCGTGTCATTGTGTGAGTGGAAGGAGCCGGAGAGTGGTGATGGCGCCATGTCCGAGGACATAGGGCGCAATGTCAACGTGGGCGAGGGTTCGCGACGTCCGCGCCAGGTCCATGACGGCAGCGGCAATGTCGCGCGGATCGTAGGCGTTGCCGGAGAGGAGGAGGCGGGCAACGGCAGCGGTCGGGTGCTTCGCCGAGGAGACGATGGCGAGAACGCCGCGCGAGGTCATGCGGTTGCTGCGGAGATGGACGTTGGTAACGGTTGGATTGACTTCGAGCATGCGGCCGAGCGCGGCGCCGCCGACATCACCAATGGCGTTGTCGTCGAGCGCGAGGGTGTTGAGGCGGTGCGGGCGGGCGATGGCCTTGGCCAGTGCCTCGGCGCCGACGTCACCGATGGCATTGCCATCGAGAGCGAGGACGCCGATGTGGCGGGTGGACGAGAGCATCTGGGCGAGAACAACGGCAGCGTCGTCGTCAAGCCCGTTGTTCTCCAGATACACCTCGGTGATGGTCTTATTCTGGCGGAGAGCGGCGGCGAGCGCCTCAATGCCTGTCCGCGAGAACGAGTTGGACGCCAAGTGCAGGACGCCGAGCGACTTGTTCGGACCGAGAGCGTCCGAGAGCGCGACGAGATGCTCGTCGGTCAGCGACGCATCCTCCAGAGCGAGCACATGCAGCATCGAGTGGAAGCGGACCGAGGCGTCGAGCGAGGTGACGGCAACCAGTGGGAGCGGGCGGCCGGAGAGTGCGAGCTTGTGGCGCATTGGGTAGGAGAAGAACTCGAGGACACGCAGGTCTGCGGCCTGGCCAGTCTCGCGCATGTTGCGGGCATACTCCAGCTGCTGCTGCATGCACGAGATGGCAAGGAACCACGCGGTGTTTTCCTGGCCTCGTCCGACTGGAAGAAAAGAGTGCGACCCTTGGTCGAGAGGGCGAGGCAGGCCCGGCCGGTCTCATCGCGCTCGCGCAGGCCGTCGACAAGGCACTGGTCGAGCCGCATCTTGCCCTTGCGGGTAGCGCACGTCTCGTCGGTGTAGTACGAGAGCGTGCCGCCGCGGAGGACAAAGAAGCGGCGCTTCCAGTTGCGGACGCGGCGACCCTTCTTGTTGACGTAGCCCTTCATGAGGATCTGGGTCGCCCGCCCGGGCAGGTGGCCAAACGCCTCGTCCTCGTCCGAGTCGCCCTTAGTCGCCGCGTCTTGCGCCGACGTTGTGTCGGTCGCAATGTACGGCGACTCGGGCAGAGCCTCGGCAACTACGTTGAACTTGCGGGTGAGGTGGCGGACGAGGGCGGCGAGCGACTTGTTGGCGGTGTTCAGCTCGGCGACAGCGGTCCGCATCTCGTCGTGCTGTGCCCGCAGCGCATTCAAATACTCCAGTGCTTTTTTGTCATTGTCGGTCACGTCGCCAAGCGACTGGGTGAGGACCTCGGGCATGCCCTCGCGAATACCCAGCAGGGTGAGAAGCCGGGACGGCTCTGAGCAGCCGGCGCCAGAGTCGGGGACAAAGGTGACAGAGTCACCGCCATCACGAAGACCACCAGTGGGTGACACCCGCCCGCCAGTCACCGTGTCCGACAGCATGCCCGACTCGTCGTCCTCGTCGTAGCGCATGTCGGTCGGCAGGCCGTCGGACGACCCACGCACCAGCGCGCTGTCATCCTCACCAAGGCCATTCACGCCGCTGTCGTCGGCTCTGCCCAGCCCGCTGCTGACGTCGGCAGCTCCACTCGCCGCCGCAAAGCTGTTGCGGACGGAGCTGCGCTTGCTGCCACCAACAGCTCCGCTCACACTGGCGCTTGCGCCCGACGGCCCAGCCTCAGCGCCAGCATCCGACGACAGCACATCACCACCGGACTCGTCGCTTGAGCACTCGTCCGACGACGAATATGAGTAGTACGAGCCAGACGAGCCGGTTCCTGACGAAGCCGACGACTGACGCGATCGAGTCCTCGGCGTCAGCGGAGCACGGACATGCCCCCGCTTCTCCACCCGAGCCATCGACACCACACCGGCATCCGACGATGAGACCGACGAGCGGTTCGACCTCGGCGAACAAGGCTGCAAGCCATCCATCTTGTGCACAGCCGCCATAGTTGACGACATCGGTTGCTCGCTCTGGTTCCCACGTGGCTATGGCTGTGATTGTGATCACGATCATGCTCGTCATCGCCATCTCCATCGTCATTGTTGTTGTTGTTGCTGCTAGCGGCGGCACCAGCAACAGCGGTACTGCCAGCGACCTCGGCATCGGTCTGACTAAACTCGACAAACTCATCCCCTTGACCAGGCATCTCATCATGGACCTCCAGCGAGTCTCCTCTCGACGGACGGTCTTCCTTGATTTTTCCACCACCGCACAGGTGCCGCCATACCCATCACCCTCCTCATCACCAGAGAGGCTACTCATAGTGCAGAGATTGAGGGGAAGGGGATAACGTCAATGCCTATACCTATGTCTATGTCGGTGGCCCCTGCGTCAAGTGCTACTCTTTTCACACCGTCACACTCTCCTTGCCTAGACCCCCCCCCTCCCCCCCCCTCCCCCCCCTCACCACCACCTGCCGAACGTGTCGCACCACCGACCGACACTCTCCCGCCCCTTCACCCTCTCCGTCACCCCCCCCCCCACACACACACACACACACACAACGAATGTGAAAGGGAGAAAGGGAGAACAAGGAGATTGAAGCCACAGAATGGTGTTATCGAAGAAAAGAGAAGAAGATCGATGGTGTGGGGGGGGCATGGAGACGAAGACCTTGGGTAGGTAGGGTGGTAGCCAGGGAGTGGGCGAGAGGACGGGAGGTAGGGCTACACAGCCCAGCTGACTGACCGTCAGACGCTGCCGCAGTCAGACACAGACTCTCTCTCTTTCTCGCACACACCTGACTGACCTGGCTATGTCTGCCTCTTCTTCTACAAGTGCTGCTGCTGCCAAGCCTACCGGCAAGCAGCCCATCTCTGTTCTCGATGATGACGAGTTTGAGGAGTTTGAGAATGGTATGGTTGCGGGGGCGGGGGCGGGGGGGGCGGTGGGTGGGCGGGTGGGTGGGTGGACCGGGCCGGCCAGCGACGGGTCGTGATCGCGATCGCGATCGTGAGGGCCAGGTCGCGCCAAGGTTCCATGGGCTCCCGGGGGAATGAAGATGGTACAGGTATAGGGAGTATGGAGAATGGGGTATACTTACACGTGTGTGACTTGTGCGTGGCTTGCGTTGTATGCTGATAGAGTGGACGGCGCCCAAGTCGGCGAACAAGGAAGCGCTGTGGCAGGACGATTGGGACGACGACGACCTGACCGATGTCTTCTCCCAGCAGCTCCGGGCAGAGCTGGACAAGGTTGCTGCTGCATCGGGTGTCGCTGCCATGAAGCAGTAACTCCATCGTCATCTGCATACCCAAGACCATGGGAGAAGAGCAAGCAAGTGCGTGTGTGTAAGAGAGAGAGAGAGTTTAAAGAAAACGGTCGCTGTGGATAGAAGGGCCTCGGCGCTCTCTCGGCCGCACTGCCACCTCTCATGGCGGATAGCAGGCACCATACGATGGCTGTGATGACAGATGAGCACATCACTGCACAGCAGACTCGACCTGCTCAAGCACACTTGTCACCATGCCACCAAGTTCGCCAAGCATGGCCGATGACTCGGCAGAGGCCATGACTGCGTTGAGAGCGTCGGTGAGCTTGTCAAAGAGCGCCCTGGTCCACGCAATGGGCGCGCGCGGCGGCGTGGCGGTGCCGATGGCCATCAGCGCGAGCTTGGTCAGGCCATCAACCGACTCGCCGTGGTGGGCGAGCGACGAAACAACAACGTCCGGGTCGAGGCTGCTCCGCAGCTGCGCCGGCGACGCCCGCGACAGCACCGTGAGCGCGTTCAAGTGAAGCTCCTCGTTGGTCGGGTAGATCCGCATGGCGCTGAACAAGAGGCTAGGGTCAATGGCCTCGATATGTTCGGGGGCGCCAAGGGTGACAAGAAAACGGAGGACAAAGAGCTGCAGCCGGAGATCGCCCGGCCGCCGCCGCATGGCATCGACGAGTGTAGCCACCACCGACGTTGTCACCGCGTCGCCGGCCGCCACCGCCTCGAGCGCCGCCAAGCACCCGGCCCGGAGGAACGGTGTGTCGCGCGAGTGCCGCATCAACGCAGCCTCGATGTCGCCCAGCGTCCGCGCCGCAAACCGCAGCTGCGATGACTCGGGGTCGACCCATGCCGAAAAGAGCTCCGAAAACTCGCGGAGCTGGCAGACCTGCGCCACCAGCCGCGTCCGCAGCGCAAACGGCAGCGCGTCCGACATTGCCGAAAAGAGGAGCTTCTTGCCGGCCACAGACAGCACCGTCGATCCGTTGACTATGTGAATGGTGAGCGCGGCAAGCTCCGAGAAGCATACCTCCTGGTACAAGCTCGACGAGTGGTCCGATGCCGGTGCCATCGGCGCACGCATCGTCTCCACTCCGGTCAGCTCAACAAAGAGCAAGTCGAGGAGTCGGACAAGGCCGACCTCGGATGATCCGACATCGCGCACGCTCCCGCCCCGTCCGGCTTGCTTCTGGCGTTGAGCCTCGGCGTACGCCGCCACCGTCGCCCGCAGTGCCTTGCGCGGCGCGTTGGCCTGCAGGTACTCGAGCTGGGCAAACCGGAGCGCGCGTACCACGCTATCAATCGCCTGCACCACCTCACTGCTAGCCTCGGACTCTAGCTGGAGAATGTGCGAGAGGGCTGGCGTCACCGACGCCCATCCCATCATTGACGGCAGCAGCCGGCCCGCAGCCTCCTTGACCCCGCTCAACACGCTCCCCAGAGTTGACGCATCCGACGCCGCACGCGCAGCAGCGAGCTGGCTGGCAAAGCCGGTGCGGTCACGCTCCACCCCGAGCAGCCACATCCAGCTCGCCTCCACACTCGCCTGGCACCATCCATGGTTCGCGTGATACCGCGTCATGCCAAAAAACTCCTTGACGAGCGGCTCGAGATGGCCTAGATCAAGAGCGTGGACTGAGAGCTCATCCATGAGGCCTCCCAGCGCCCGCCGGGCTGCGCTCGGCGCTACAAAGCCACCGCGGATAGGCTCCCACTCGCCGCCGTCGCCTCGGCCGACGCCAATCTTGCGGAGCAGTGCCGTGTGCGGTGCGGCAGTCCGAGTAATGTTGCGGTGTGGATCGAGCTTGCCCTCAAGCAACTGCTCCGCACGCTCGTACTGTGATTCGGCTTCGCGATACCGCCCGCGGTAAAGGTAGCAGTCTGAGAGTGCCGTCCGCACCGCTGCCTCGAGCCGCGCACCGCCGGTCCCAGCCGCCTCCAACTCTTGCAGCAAATACAGCAGCTGCTGCATAGCCAGGTGCGCATCGCCCTCGTGCAACGTGATCTGCGCCCAAAGCACCACGCCGATGCTGCAGTACTCGTCGAGCGTGGCTGCAAGCGAGCCCGCGGCCTCCATCCCACTTCCCGGCGGCAGCTCGGCTGTATGACTCGACGTGAGAACGTAGAGTGGGAGGATGACGGTAAACGCAACCCGGACAAGGTCTTCGGTGAGACCTGCATGCCCAGTGAGCGAGATCCGCGCGTCGGCCAGCGACATCTTGAGCCCGCGGCTCACAGCCGCATCCCATGCAAGGCCCAGCGCGCTCTGGACCGCGCCGAGAATCCTGGACGAGACAGCACCTGTTCGCGCCAGATGCCCGAGTGCCTCATAGCTCGACGCCACTGGGTACGCGCTCACTGGGAGAAAGAGGAGGAGCGGAGTGATGACTGCGGCGTGCAGGTCGTTGACGCTAAATGCAAGCGCACGGAGATACCGTGAGTTGCGCGGGTAGGCAAAACCGGCCAGGAGCGAGCCGGCCGGCGACCGCATCCCGGTCTCCCACTCACACCACAGCGCACCAGCCATACACGGCTCGCAGGCCGCCCGATAAGCCTCAAACAGGTCCACGGCGCTCGGGTCTGCGCCGCCAGATGCGCCTGAAAGTAAAACTGGGTGAAGAACAAACGAGGCCTCGAGCCGGACTGCTGCAGCCTCAGCCGCCGTGCTCTCCGGCTGGCCCAGCCCGGCCATGTTGGCCGACTCTTCCAGCCGCGGCGTGGTCGGCTCCGAGCTCCCGGCAGGGCGCTCGTCATCAAAGGTAAGCAGGCCACGCGCGACATCGTGCCCGCCGCCACCGAGGCTGAGCGAGGCGAGGGTGAGGTCGGCGGACCGCGGCCGCGATCGGCGCCCGCTCTCGCCGATTGACGGCTCGCGGACTAAGCTACGACTCAGGCCCGAAAGCCGCGAAACCGACTCGGATCGCGGCGAAGTTCGCTCGGCGTCCACTAGCTCGGCGATGGAGCCGGCTGAGTTGGGCCGGGCCCGGTCGCGCCCGCCAAGCGCGACATCTGCCTCGGACTCACTCTCCGAGCCGGAACACGAGCCGCTACTTGCGGCGTCATTAGCGTCTGGGCACGAACCGACCTCGCCAGGGCGGTCACTCTGCTGGGAAAAGACAAAGGCGGCTGGCGATGGTGCGCGCGTCCTGTCCACCTTGTCCAGCGAGAGCGGCAGGCCAAAAGTGGCGCCGGGCGATGAGATATCGGCCGGCGACGGCGAGAGCGCGCCAGGTGCCATCTCCACGTCCAGGTCTGAACCGTTGAGCAGCGCAAGGTTGACATCCGTCAGCTCACGGGTCTCGCCGAGGTTGTACAGCTCGGTGGCGAGCAGCTGCGCCAGGCCAGTGACGTACGCGGTGGCCGACGAGTCGTGGGCGACGACAAAGACGGAGTCGAGGCCCGAGAACGGGTGCAGCTCGCGCGAGGTGAGCGTCGAGCCGGTGATGAGCGCAAACGGCTCGGGCGAGGCGCCAAAGTAGTTGAAGGCGTCGCGGACGCGAAAGGCAAGAAAGGCATCGAGGCCCGAGGCGTATAGATGCAGCATGTACGCCTTGCCGCGCGGCTGAAGCGCGGCATGTAGCTCGGTGCAAGTGTCAAAGTGGTGAAAGACTGCCGAAAAGGTGATGGTCGACGGTGGGAGCGCGAGAGCCCACTGGGTGACCAGCATCGAGACAAAGCGAACCATGTCCTCATCAGCATCGAGAACCGAAAACGGCGGAAGGACCGATCCTGGGCCGGATTCGGCCTGCGGCCCGCCAAACGGCGAGGCGCCAAATGTGCGCTCCGAGAGCGTCATGAGAAGCACGCGCAGCGCAAGGACGATGCGCCGGTTGCGAACCCACTGGGCCTCGGCCGGGAGAAAATGCCGGCCAGAGCTCGATCCGAGGCCAGCTGTAGCCGCAAGATCGAGCGAGCCGCCAGCCTCGGACGACGTGGCCTCGCCGGCTCGCGACGACTCGGACTCGTCATACGATTCGAGACCAAGCTCGGGCTTGCCAGCAAGCACGCTCGCGGGATCGCGGGCATACAGCAGCTGCGAGGTCCGCTCGAGCTTGTCAGAGAGAGGCAGAACCTGCGGGAGGAGAGCCTCAAAAAGTGAGGCATACTGAACAGCAAAGCAGAGAATAGACTGGGCATGCGAGTGACAGCCCGCGTTAGCAAGACGATCGGCCATGCGGACAAGGGTGGCGAGCGAGATGTGCTGCTCACCAGGCACAAGATGCGGGTTGAAGTAAGCGAGCTGTCGGGCGCGATCGAGGGTCGACTGAAAGTCGCCTGAGTAGTGGGCGAGGAGCAGGAGCGGAACACGGGCGAGCGAGACAGCCGCGGCGGCGAGCGTTGTCGGGGCGACGGCGTCCGAGTGGCTCTGAGCTGCACGCCACGCCGCGTTGTACATCGAGGTCGCCCGCTGGTAGCCAGCGGTGAACGGATCGATCGATCCGGCGGCACGGAGAGCGAGCGCCTTTTCCACAAAGGCGTCGCCCATGGCGATAAGCCGCTCCACGTGGGCGTTATGGAGCCGGAGCGAGCCGGCAATCTCAGCCGCGAGCCAGTGCATGTGCTCGGCCACGCCCGCGAGCGGATGCGAGACCGGAAGCGTGCGGGCAGAGAGGTCCGAGCCGGCCTGGGCGAACAACTCGACAAGCTTGGTGCCGATGTCTGGAGAGAGCGCGGCGCCGACTCGAATCGGATGGGCCACAATTGTGGTCAGCGAGGTGAGGAGTGACGGATCGCTGCGCGAGATGAGCGCGGCCATAAACATCCGTGCGGTGTCGAGGACCGGATCGTAGAGCCGGGAAAAGAGGGCAAGCGGTCCCGAATAGACTCGCGCCAGCGCCAAAACCGCAGTCTTGAGCACATCGAGGCCGAGCTCGTACGCACCGTGGCGCATGTGCATGGCAACGACTCTTAGCTGAGTCTCCAGCACACGCTCGTACGGAACGCCGGTCAAAGGGCCAGACGCAAGACGAGATACCACCGGCGACCACACAGCACGAAGTGGCGAGTCCACGTCCTTATCCTCGACATACTTACTTCCTTCGGGAGAGAGAAAGGCCGCAGCTTGCAGCAGCGGACGAGCTACGTCTGTCTCTCCGCCACTCCGACCTGCCTGTCGCCGAGTCCTGTCCCCCGGACTGTCACCAGCCGGACTACCGCCACCACCACCACCACCCCCTCTCCCACCACCGGCAACAGAAGCCCCACCACCAGACCCAGCAGCCCTTCCACTGCCGGCACCTCCACCAGTCCTCGTGCGTTTCTTGCGGCGACGGGACATGTGCGACGAATGCCTGTCGTTGCCACACCCTTGTCTGCGTGTCATGGTCATCGCGATCGTGATCGCGATCGTGATCGAGATCGTGATCGATCGGTTGCTCGGTTAATCGGTCGGGCTGCGTCCACACGGCTGGGAGGCTTGCTAAGGGATGAGCAAGAGCTGTGGTAGCTTGCTTGCCAGAGAGAGAATGACATCGTCATCGCTATGGCAAATGCGGTGTTGTTCATGATTGTTTGTGGTTTCGATCGCGATCAAGATCGTGATCGATCGGTCCGTTGGCCAGGCAGCGGAGTCTAGACGGCTGAGAAGGTGATACTGCCTGACAACGTGTCATGAGCAAGGGAATGACGTTGCTTGCCCGTGAGGGATCATTGTCTTAATTGTATTCGTGGTTGTGATGGTGATGGCGATTGCGGCGATGATTGTGGTCGTGGGAAGATGCCGATGGATGCCACTTGTGAGGTAGGCAGGTGTCGGTCAGTGTGCCAGTTGGCTGTGTGACGACAAAGCCCAGTGCGACTGCGACTGCGACCGCGACCAGTGCGACTGCAACGACGACAACGACCAGCACTCCACTCACAGAAAGCTTACCTATATGTACGAGTGTGTATTGTATGGGAGGGGGGGGGGGGGGGAGAGGGAAGAGCTGGGACTCACGGAGGAAGGGAGTGACGGGTTGCTGGCCGGCTGGGTGCGGGGCGGGCAACGGGGACGCGGACGGATGGGTGGGGCGGGTATTGGTGGTGGGTGAATGAGTGTAGGCCTCTATACGGTGACGGGGTGTACCAGGGTGGTCTTCCTGCTGGAGATCCTCAGGTGATGGCGTCGGTACGTGACGGTGGTGGCGGAGAGAAGGAGGTGGAGGGAGAGGGGCGACTTGTGGGGGTGGGGGGTGGGGAGGTGGGCGACAGGCGACCGTTGGGCTGACAAGGTGACTGGGGGTATGGGCATGGATGTGGGGACAGTACGGACGGGGAGGGTATGGAAGTGGTCGTACTGGGTATGGGCATGGGTATGGACATGGCGCTGCAGGGGCTGCGTATGTTGGGTATCCGGGAGAGGCTGAGGTCGGCCCGCCGCCAGGCTTTGGTATGCCGGCGCGATATGCAGGGAGAGCTGGCGGTGGAGGGTGGGGCTACGGGCAGGGGCTGATGGGCGGCGGTGGGTACGGTGGAGGAGTGGATATGGGGATGAGCATGGGCGAGGTCGGGGCGGGGCGATTCTTTGACGATGGCCTCGCTGGTCTCCAGTCGACGATGGCCAGCGCGGCGGCCGGGCCCGGGTGGGTCGAGCAATCGCACGCATCAAAGGTCGAGCGTGTCCGTGAGCTGCGGCGCAGGGTCGACGCACTGCCGGTCTCGTACCGCAAGGGCCCGATCACCAAGCGGACCCGCAAGATTCCCGAGTTCACCTTTGCTTACTCTGACCTCTCCGAGTCGGACTCGAGCGTCCTCGAATTTGCCGACACGGATGGGAGCGGGTCCTCCACCAGGTACGTGAAATCCCATCCCGAGTTTCGCCGAGTTAGGAAGAATCTGAGGGCAGTGCGTGGAGAGGAGGTCTCCACATCATCTGTTCTTGCTCACCTCCGCGACATGGATCGCGCCATCAGCAGGTCGGCCGTCATCGCCGAAAAGTCCAAGAAGAAGAAGGCCAAGTCGGCCAAGAAGAACAAGTCGGCCAAGAAGGACAAGTCGGCCAAGAAGGACAAGTCGGCCAAAAAGGACAAGTCGAAGAAGGGCAAGAAGACATCATCGACCAAGAAGAAGTCGAAGAAGTCGTCATCGACCAAGAAGAAGTCCAAGTCCAAGTAAATCAACAGAACTCTCCCCTCCCCCCCCTGTTATCACCCCCAAACACTGAATGACTGCTGATTCCCAAGTTGCAGATGGCGGGTTCCTTAGTTGCAGATGACGGGTTTCTGATGCTGGTCCTGATGCTGTTGTGACGTGGTGGCGGGAGGTGGCAATGAGGTGACCGCCGTTTGGAGGCAACGAAAACTTCATTGTTCGCCAGCATTATTAATTGTGGCGGCTAAGCCAACGGCCGGGGGCAGGTGGCAGCAAGCGCTGCGACGGACGGCCACTTGTCGCCCCGCACCCGGTCAGTTTGCCCATGTCGCTCAAGCTGGACGTGAACCGGATCCTTCTGGCCCGGTCGGACCGGGTCAAGTGCGTGGATGTGCACCCTACCAACCCATGGGTTCTATGCGCTCTGTACTCTGGAAATCTCTATGTCTGGGACTATACCACAAACGTATGTTCTCCATCCATACCTCCACCTTCTCTCTGACGTGGCCCCCCCTCTTGCCAGCCCCTCCATCGCCAGCCGAAGCCTCTGTCCATTTTTGCCCGTCCAGCCCTACCCGTTCTCCGCCCCTCCTATGCCACCACGCACCCCCAACCACACACACCCACGCACATGGGTAGAGAAGGAAGTGGGGTGATGGTATGGGGTGGTGGAAGGGGGAAAGGGGGGGGGGAGGGGGGGGGGGGGGAAGGGGGGAAGGGCAAGGTCTTTGGTGTCTACTCACAGTCATGGGAGAACTGCGAACCGACTCGGCCTGGGCTTGGGGCTGGCGCTGCGCTGCTGCTGGGTTGGCGACTCTGCTGGTGCTACTGCTCATGCTGCTGCTGGGCTCTGGCCACTGTGCTGGGTTGGCCACTGTGCTGTGCTGGTCGACGCTGCGCTGGGGGCCGGTCGACTGCTGGTCTACGCTGCGCTGGGCCCGGCCGACTGCTGGTCGACGCTGGTCTTATCTGCTGGTCCTGGGTGGAACGAGTAGAAGCTGGTCAAGACGTTTGAGATCTCGGAGCTTCCATGCCGGACGGCGCGGTTCATTGCGCGGGAGAACCTTGTGGTGGCGTCTGCAGACGACCTGCGGCTGGTGGTGTTCAACTACAATACGCACGCGCGTGTGGCGACGCTCGAGGCTGCGCACGCCGACTTTATCCGCGGCCTCGCAGTTCACCCGACGCTCCCGCTGGTGCTGTCTTCGTCGGATGACATGCTCATCAAGATGTGGAACTGGGAGAAGGACTGGGAGTGCACGATGGTGTTTGAAGGCCATGCACACTACGTCATGGACGTCAAGTTCAACCCCAAGGACAGCAACACCTTTGCGTCGGCCTCGATGGATCGCACAGTCAAAGTGTGGAACCTCAACTCGCCGCAGTGCAACTTTACACTCTCGGGCCACACCAAGGGTCTCAACAGTGTCGACTACTTTGCGGGCGGTGAGAAGCCGTACCTGATCACTGGCGCCGATGACAAGACCGTCAAGGTGTGGGACTACCAGACCAAGACGTGCGTGCAGACGCTGACCGGCCACTCGCACAACGTGCCGGCCGTCGCCTTCCACCCGACCCTCCCGCTCATCCTCACCGGCTCGGAGGACGGTACCATCCGCATGTGGCACTCGTCGACGTACCGCCTCGAGAACACCATCAACTACGGCCTCGGCCGGGTGTGGTCGATCCAGTGCGACCCGTCGTCGAACAAGATTGCCTTTGGCTTTGACGAGGGCACCACCATGATCTCGCTCGGCCGCGAGGAGCCTGCCGTCTCCATGGACGGAACCGGCAAGATTGTCGTCGCCAATCACAACAAGGAGGTGTACGGCCTGTCGGTCAAGGGCGTGGCCGAGAGCGTGGAGGATGGCGACATGCTGCCACTCCCGTCGCGCGACCTTGGTACTTGCGAAGTCTACCCGCACGCTCTGGAGCACTCGCCCAATGGGCGCTTTGTCTCGGTCTGCGGCGACGGCGAGTACATCATCTACACCGCCCGCGCGTGGCGGAACAAGGAGTTTGGCTCGGCCCTCGAGTTTGTGTGGTCCACCGACTCCACCGAGTATGCCATCCGCGAGACCTCGTCGTCCATCAAGATCTTCAAGAACTTTAAGGAGCGCCTGAACTTCAAGACCGACTTCTCCGTCTCCAAGACCTTTGGCGGCCACCTCATTGCCCTCATCACCTCGGGCGCCGTGTTCTTCATGGACTGGGCCACCGGCGGTGTCATCCGCAAGATTGACACCGTCCCGACTCTTGTCGAGTGGTCCGAGTCTGGCGAGTACGTGACGCTCGCCACCGACGACGCCTTTTTTGTCCTCCACTACAACGCCGACGCCGTTGCCGCTGCCGCCGCCGCCGGCTCGGCCCACCCGGTCGAGGGCGTCGAAGGCGCCTTTGACGTCGTCTTTGACTCGGCCGAAAAGGTGACGTCGGGCGTGTGGGTCGGTGACTGCTTCATCTACACTAACTCGCTCAACCGCCTCAACTACTGCGTCGGCACCGAAGTCGTCACCCTTGCCCACCTCGACAAGGCCATGTACCTGCTCGGCTACCTTGCCAAGGACAACCGCCTCTACCTCATGGACAAGTCGGTCAAGGTTGTTTCTTACGTCCTCAACCAGTCGGTCCTCGAGTACCAGACCGCCGTTCTCCAGGGTGAGCTGGAAATTGCTGCCGAGCTCCTTCCGGCCATCCCGGACGAGTACCACAACCGCATTGCCCGCTTCCTCGAGTCGCAGGGCCACGTCGAGCTGGCCCTCGCCGTCTCGCAGGATCCGGAGCACAAGTTTGACCTTGCCGTCTCGCTCGGCCGCCTCGACGAGGCCCGCATCATCGCCCTCGAGGACGAGACAGAACTCAAGTGGCGCCAGCTGGCCGACCTCTCGCTCAAGTCGTGGAAGTTTGACATGGCTCAGGAGTGCATGGAGCGTGCCGGCAACCTCACCGGCCTCCTCCTCCTCTACACCTCGACCGGTGACGCCGCGGGCATGACCAAGCTTGCTGCGACCGCCAAGGACGCCGAGCAGCACAACATTGCCTTTGCTGCCATGCTCCTCACCGGTGACGTCGACGGCTGCATCGACATGCTCCTCGACACCGGCCGCCCGTCTGAGGCCGCCTTTATGGCCCGCACCTACCGCCCCTCGCGTGTCTCCGCCATCGTCGACACCTGGCGCGAGGACCTGGCCAAGGTCAACGAGAACGCCGCAAAGGCCCTCGCCGACCCCATGGAGTACGAGAACCTCTTCCCCGACATCCGCCATGCCCTCAAGGCCGAGGCCTGGTTCGCTGCCAACGCCGCGGCCTCCTCCCCCTCCATCGCCTACACCGAGCGCATTGCGGAACTGGCCCGTGACATTGTCGCCGAGGCCCGCCAGGGCGCCTTTGACGGCCCTGCTGCCTCTATTCCCGAGCCGGTTGCCGAGCCCGAGCCGGTTGCCGAGCCCGAGCCGGTTGCCGAGCCCGAGCCGGCTGCCGAGCCCGAGCCGGTTGCCGAGCTCGAGCCAGTTCCCGAGCCGGTCATCGCTGAGCCCGTCGCCGAGCCCGTCGCCGAACCCGTCGCCGAGCCCGTCGCTGCTGAGCCCGTCGCCGAACCCGTCGCCGAGCCCGTCGCCGAGCCGGTGGCCGAGCCCGTCGCCGAGCCCATCGCCGAACCCGATGCTGATGCCGTCGACTTTGAGGACGCACTGGGTGACGTCGATGAGGCTGCTGCCGCCGAGGCGCTCGAGTGGGGTGTCGAGGATGACGACGACGCTGGCCTCGACGACTGGGAATGATTAATCGAGCCATCACCCCCTCCCTCCCTCCCCCCCCTCCCTCCCTCCCCTCCCTCCCCCCCCCTCCCTCCCAATCCCTATCTGTAGCCACAGTCCTCGGCCTGGTGCCCCCGCTGTTGAGCAGTCCCCGCCCCTCGTCCTCTCATCCGATCTACGCTCGCAGCATTGGCCATCTCTCTCAGCCCATCCCGACTGCAGGTCGATGCTCGCCGCGGTATTCCTCCGCGGAGGAGCAGCACCAGCTCGCGTAGCAAGCACGATGTCGATGATAAGCATGCCGATGATGAGAATTGCTGGCACAAGGCCCAAGGCCACATTCAACATGACATGTATGGCGCAGACTGCCTTCAGTAGACCCGCCAGGCCCATCAGCAGCAGTGCGGGTAGAGGCATAGCGACCGTCCCGACGGCGCGACAGAGTGGAATTGCATCGGCGACGGCGGCGGCATTGGCCGGAGCCAGCGAACGCGGACATGAGCCGGTCCTCGTCGAGCCTGTTCTTCAAGCAGTGGTGGACGCTGTGGCTCGAGTCGGTCCGCGCTCTATGGTTGTTGACGCCACCTTTGGCTGTGGCGGCTACACCCGCGGCTTGCTGGCGGCGACCGGAGAGGAGACCAAAGTGCTTGGCATCGACCGCGACGCATCGATGGAGATCCATGCGGCGCCACTCGCCGAGAGACATCCGGAGCGACTTGCCTTTGCCTGCGCGCCCTTTTCTACCATCACTTCGCTCGAGCTGTCCGCCCCTGTGGCGGCTGTCGTCTTTGATCTTGGCCTCAACTCGGCTGCGCTCGACGATCCGGCCCGCGGCTTCTCCTTTCGCCCCACACATGACGGTCCGCTGGACATGCGGATGAGCCCGCAAGCTGGCGGAGAGACGGCTGCTGATCTTGTCGCTCGCATGCCAGAGCTCGAACTCAGTGCCTTGTTTACCGATCTTGGCGGAGAACGCCCGCGACTCGCCGCACGCATCGCCCAAGCCCTGGTCGCCGCACGCGAAGCCGGCGCCGCCCCGACCACCACACAGGAGCTGGCAAGCTTGGTAGCCCGAATCAAGGGCAGCAAGGCGCGTCGCAAGCGAGACCACCATCCGGCAACACTGGTCTTTCAGGCCCTCCGCATGGCGGTCAACCACGAAATGGACGAGCTCCGCGCCGGACTCGCCGGCGCCCGAGACGTCCTCGCCGACGGCGGCGCCCTAGTCGTCGTCAGCTACCACTCGGGCGAGGACGGCGTGGTCAAGCGGTTCTTGCGGTCGTCGCGAAGCGCAACGCCACCGCACAAGCACTCGTTTGGTGGGCCAACTCCCGGCGCCAAGTCAATCACAGCTCCGCGCGCCGAGGCCGCCACCAACCCACGCGCCCGGTCGGCCCGCCTCCGGGTTGGCATCCGTGACCGCAGCAACTAGACACCGAGGTCCGAGCGGAAAGCAAGCTCATCGCTCGCCTCACTAGCGATGACTACAAGCAAGACCGCAGGACCGAGATCGAGATCGGCAATCGACAAGTCAACAACAGCATCAAGCGCCACGACCCGCGACGACGGCAACCGAATGCCAAACGGCACCGGACTGGCAAGGAGCGAGGCCGCAAACTCAAAGAGAGCCGACGCCGGCTCATGGACACTAAAGTTGCCCTGCACTAGCGTCCGCGAAGCGCCGATGGCAAAGCGGACGGCACAAAACTGATACGCAACCCGCGGCGAGTCGCTGGGCGCCGACGAGCGGGCACGGACCTCACGGGCCCGATCGAGTGCCGCACGCCGGGCAGCAGCCTCGGCCCGCAGCTCCTGCGCTGAACGCTCAAAGAACGTGCCATCCTCCTCGCCAGCCACTGCATCTGGGAGCGGCGCAATGATTGTCAGCGAGCGGTCGAGCTTGGGTGTGAGCTTAAGCGAGCGCGAGTCGAGGCCGACCCGGAGGTACTCGAGCGCCTCAAGAGGGAAGCCATCCTCGAGCACAAGGTACGTGGCCGACTGGTCCTTGTCGTCAGGCTTGGGCGGCTGCTCCACAAAGCCGATGGCGGCAAAGAAGGCCAGCGCACCCGAGACTGGAGCAATCCGGGTGGAGAAGACTTTGTTGGACGTCTTGATCCGGCGATACTTGGGATCGTCCGGATGGGCAAGGATGTTGTCCATGTACTTGAGCATGGTAGCCACGCATGGATCGCGGACGTCCCGCGGGGCAGTGAGGACTAGCGTTGCCGACGCCTCAAAGTCCTCCGGATCGACCGCGAGCTTGGCGAGACAGCACTCGCGGAGATGGGTCATGGCAGCAGCCTTGGGCGTGACAAGGGTGCAGACAGGGCAGGTGTACGCCAGACCGATCCGCTCCTCCTGAGCCTTTGCCGCTGCCTTTGCCGCCTTTGCACGGCAAGCCACAACATGCGCCGGCAGATCCACCACCAGTACTGATGCTCCACACACCGGGCAGGCCTCACTCGCCACAGCCGCCCGCGCCGCCCGTCTCCGATCAGCCAACGAGTTTGATGGCACAGTTGACGATGGCGACGATGACGATGATGCCTTGCCCGTACCGCTCGGACCGGCCACACGAGCCAATGCAGCAGCAGCAGCCGACGATAACGAAGGTGGAGCAGCACCAGCACCAGCACCAGCACCAGCACCAGCACCAGCACCGGCAGCAGCAGCAACAGACGATGACGATGATGTTGACGATGAGTTGCCCGCTGTCCGGGTACTCCCGGCTTCCGCGCGCTCGGACGGACTCTCGTCAAGTCGCCGTCCGGGTCCAGCTGAGCGGAACTTGCGGTTGCGTTGCCACTTCTTGAACGCCTTCATTGAGAGAGGGTGGGGGAAGGGGGTGGGGGGGTTGGTGGAACGTGTGGTCGTCGTGTGGTGGTCACCGAAGGGGGGTTCGGCTCTCGAGGTTCGGCTCTCGCGGTTGGCGGTTCGGCGGTTCGATGGTTCGGCGGCTCGGCGACTCGGCGGTTCGGGGACTTGGGCGGCTCTGATCGTTCAATGGATGGGATGGGGTGCTGCGTCGATGGACCATATGCTTATGTAACAGCAAACGTCGTAAAGTGATGGTCGTCCTCGAGCAATGACAGCCTTTACTAGGATGTTGCCGAGGATGATGCGCTGAGATGACCGGCTGCAGCTGCGACGGCGGTCTTGGCGGCTCGGGCTGGTGACTCGGCAGAAGCGACGGCAGCTCGGAGGGCAAGGAGCGCGGGCGACGGCGGATGAGCAAGCATGGCGGTAACAGTCTCAAGCTCGGTCAATACAACGCTACCGTCAATAGTAAGCCCGTGGCGGAGAAAGGCCTTGAAAAGCTGCAGAACACGTCGGTGATCATCGGCGTCCGCGCCAGCCGTCGCAGCTGCCAGCGGAATAAAGTCGTCACAAACAACGCTCGAAGAGCAGAGCGAGCGAATGTGAGTCGTCAGTTCGCTCCAGTCGCGCTTGGAAACCCGGGCCGATTCTGATTGCGAGCCTGGTGTGCGCTTGGAGGACGAGCTCGCGCGACCAGATCGCGGGATAACAGGCTTGGGCCGAGTACCCCACGTCGATCGAGCCTCGGTCGACCAGTCGATGCTTGGCGTCTCGGTCCCGAGAGTCTCCATTTCCAGCGCTGAGAGCTGGGTCTGGAATCCGCTGTTGGGTGAGACAAACGGCCGCACAGCCTGGAGTCGAGCAAACGATGACGCGAGCGGCTCGGCGTCGTTGAGCAAAAAGTAGGCGAGGGCGATGGCGACCGAGCGGGACTTGCCGACCACGCAGTGGAGGAGGACCCGCTCACCGGCCGCTAGAAGCTCGCGGAGCGCATCGGTGGCCGGCACAACAGTCTCTGCCAGGATCTGCGACGACACGTCCTCGAGCGGAAAGTGGAGCCAGCGGATCGAGCTTGCGTGCGCAAACGGCGCAAACGTCTCCTCGCACACGTTGACGATGGCGGTGATGCCGAGCGCTCGAATGGTAGCGAGGCTGGTGGCGTCAACAAGGTTTCCCAACCAGAGACCCGGAGCAATGGCTCCTGGCCCCAGCGCCAGTAGCATCGATGTGTCGGACTCGCGGATGATCCGCAGCTCCGGATCCTCGTTCCCGAGCTCGGCCGGCAAGAGCATCACGCACGTTGGTGCAAGCGACGCTGGATCCAAAGTCAGGCGGGTCTGCAGCCCACATGCCGAGGCCAGCGCAATGAGGGCGCGAAGCACAGCATGGCAGCGCCCGGCGTTGTTGAGCTGGGCCGGATCCAGCTCGCCGCCGGAGGGAAGCTTGGCCAAGATGGCAGCGGCAGCGGCTACGTCAGCCTCCCAGAGCCTTGTATCATCGGCCACGCGAAAGTCAGCCCGGCGAAGAGAGGGGACAGCGTCCAAAAGCTCACGCATCGTCGACTTGGGAAGTCGAGGCGCGACGGTGTCTGCATTGCTTCGGAGAGCGCCAAACGGGACTGTGAGCGCCGAGAGGCCTGGCTGGTAGCGGATGTAGAGGACGACGAGCGGGTGAGGCAGATCATCGAGGGTCAGCGGCGGATCGAGAACAAGGCCAGCATCGTCAACCAGAAAAGCCAGAATGGCGGCACGGGCAGCGTCCGACTGACGAGCCTCGATGCCGAGGGCGTAGATGTTGTCGACAGGCGAGGGCGTGTCTGCATCGAGGGCGACATAGCGCCACTTTGGCGTCCTCGGCAGCTCGATGTCCAGTGCGCCTGACGCGCGGAGGCGAGCAACGGCATCAGCATTATCTGCCACCGCCATCAGCGCTTTCGAGACCAGTCGGCGCGTTTTTCGCTTGGACCAGCGAGCCCGCGAGCGGTCGGCAGCCCGGACCCGCTCCCAGAGCGAGGAGCCCAAGTCGGAGAAAAGCGGCAGGTGTGGGAGCGGCAGTGCCTCCAGACGGGTCTTGGCCAGGGTCATGAGCGGTGGGAGGGCAAGAGCATGGGGAATGTGCGCAGGCGCAAGGAGAACTGACGACCGAACAGCGAGCATGGGCCTGTTGCAGGCGGATATGACTCGAGTGTCCGTCACGGCGCGGTGGAACCGATTCGATGGAACGTCTCGCTGGCCAGGCTTCTTCAGACAGATCGGCGGGATGGGGGCGATGCGACGATTTAGAGAAAACATGTCTTGGGTGATCATTGACGGGTGGTTGTGGTGCGGACAAGAGACGGTTGTTTGTTGGTTGTCCATCGCTAGACGGCTGCAACATGCTCGCTGTCGGATGTGCGGGCGGAGGAGTGGTGCGCGCTGTTCGCTTCGTCCATGTCGGAGGAGGACGAGCGGGAGGACGAGTGGACAACGGCGACCTGGAGGACGGCCTCGGATCGGGGGACAAACGGGACGACAGGGAAGATGGCGATGGTGGCGACAACGTAGATGGCTGCAGTGACCAGAAATGTGGTGCGGTACGAGGTGGCGTCGATGAGGAGACCGCCGAGGGTGGAGGCACCGCGGAAGGTGACCGAGCCGAGTGACTCGACCGTGTTCCAGCGACCGCGAGTCGACTTGGTGACGACGTCCATGACGATGGAGCGGTCGAGCGGGATCGGGGCGCGCTGAAGTGCGACACGCCCGACGTAGAGAGCAGCAACGAGGATCATGGGCTGGACAATGGCCATGGCGATGAGGCAGGCAGTGCCGGCAATCTTGAAGACGATCGAGGTCTGGACTCGGCCGATGATCAGGGACACGCGCTGGGCCCATACCGAAGAGGCCATGGTGGCGAGCGAGCCGAGCATGATGACAAGCGACATGCCCGACGGAGTCATCCCGTACTCGGAGACAAAGAAGAGCGGAAAGAAGGAAATGGTGAAGCCAGCACCCATGGCAAAGGTCAAGTCCGAGATGGCAATGACGTAGGGGACAGATGCCGGGGAGAAGAGCCCCATACACGAAGTGCGCGCCGGACGCATGTCGTCAGCTTCCGGCACGATGAGCGACACGTGCGCGGCAGCATCTGACGACTCCTCCTCCTGCTGTTCGTCATCAGATGAGAGTGTGGCAAGTGCCGAATCGGCATGAAGCTCGTCGGACCAGGAGCCAGTGTCGGCGGCAGTGCCGAGCAGTGACTTGGATCCGGGGAGCGGGACGGCGCCGGCTGCAAGGGCGCCCAAGTTGGCGGCCTCAGACTCTGCACCGAGAGCAACCGCGTCTTTGAAGAATAGCAGCTGGCAGCAACAGACGACTCCAAAGAAGAGGCCGATGGCGAGGACAATTCGCATGTGGGCCATGTTCCACTCGTCCCCAAAGGCCGAGAAAAAGATGATGGAGACAAGCGGGCCCATAAAGGTCGAGCCTTCGTTGATGGCGTACCGCAGAGTAAAGATGCCGGATCGAGCCCCGGTCGGCACCGAGTCTGCAAAGAGCGCCGAGAGAGGCGCGGCCTGGATGCCCTGGAAGGCGCCCCAGAGGGCGTAGAAGACAAAGAACATGGCAATCGAGTTGGTAGCGAGGGCAATGACGGTGGCGAGGGTGGCAGCCGCACCGATGGCGGCGGCTATCCTGAGCAGAGCTTGACGAGAGAGTCGATCAGCCAGGTAACCAGCTGGGATAGCACAAGCTACATTGGCGAGACCATTGAGGCCGGTTACCATGCCAACCATGGAGTTTGATCGGCCAGAGAGGAGGAAGACGTAGACGGCGAGAATGGACATGAGGGTGAGGGAGGAGAAGGTACGAAAGGCAGCCGTAAAGGCGAGATACAGCCGTACGTTCCCGTTCATCTCCCTCCATGTCTCCTGTGCTCTCCCCCATACTCTGCTCCTTCCATGGCATTCCATCTTTCTCTTTGGTCGCCAGACAAGTGCGCTTGCAGGCTGTGGTGGTGTACGTGTGGTGGGGGGGGGTGGGGGCGGGGATGTGCGCGAGGATGGGGAGATGGTCCGCTGGGACGGATTGCCTGAGGGAAGGAGGGGGGGGGGGTTTGATCAGGACAGTGATGAGGAGGTGGGGGGGGATGAGAAGGTGGGGATATCGGGATGGAGAAGGGGATGAGAGATTGGAGATTGGGAGGTTGAGGTTGGGGGGGGGGGGCGTGATCATCATGGAGCGGAAGGGGGTGCGGGAGAGCAGGGGGGGAATCGGTGGATGATGGAGGGAAAGGGGGGGGGGGGGGGTATGATATGATATGATATGTGTGTGTTGGGTGTGTAGCGGGGTATACGGTGGGAGGAGGATCGATTCAAACAGCGTCTGTCTTCTGCGGGGAAGGTAAGCGAGTGATGACTGCGTGCGCGCAAGCGACAAGAAAGGCAGGATCATGAGCCGATGAGGGGGCAGAGGGCATGAACAGAGCAGTAGACGTGAGTGACAGCGTATGTGACTACTATGTATATGTGTGTATATGTATCATGTTCTGTGTTTGGGGAAGGAGAGCGAGTTCTCCTCTTGCCAGCCCTCTCCCCGCCCGGCTGACCATTCCTATCATCTGCTACGACCATTTGTTAGCGTGCCGCATCACCCAGATGGGGGACCTGCCAAGCGGGGGTAGGCAAAGCTGTTGGTATGGGGAGGGAAGAGAAGATACCTGTCTCGTGTGTTGCGAGAAGAGGTGCCTGTGCCGTATGGCTGCTCCGGTGGGCCGCAGTGGGTGGTAGGTGGCAATGCGGATGGAGGGGGGGGGGAGAGAGGGTGTGTGTGGGGGGGGGGGGCGACAGAGCGGAGGGGGGTTGGGAAAGGCATACAAGACTGCACTCGACTCGCGGCGTAGACGGACGCGGGTGTGTGGGAGAGTGGCTCTTGGAGAGTAGGGCAGCATGGCGTCCGAGGTTGAGCTCCAGGAGCTCCGTGTCCAGGTGCGAGCGTTGGAGAAGAAGCTGCTGGTGGCCGAGGCACTGCAAGACGAGGACTGCGACGAGGAGCTGCTCGTGGAGAACGCACGGTTAGTGGAAGCCAATGCAGAGCTGGAGGTCCGTCTGGAGGCGAGCGAGGCCCGGGTGGCGGCTCTTGAGGGAGCGGAAGGGGCTGGGCCCGGCAGCGTGGGCGCCGGGCTCGACCCTGGCGCACCCGGGAGCACAGGCGAGCTTACAGAGCTGCGGAAAAAGCTGGCCGAGGTCCAGGCGGCGTACGAGGAGGCTGCGAGCGTCAAGCCGCTGTATGCCGAGCTGCGCAAAAAGTACCGCCACCTGGAGGAGGAGATGCAGGTGCTGGAGCACGCGTCGATGGAGCTGGATGCGAGCGTGGAAAAGCGTGGCTCGCGCAAGGAGGAGAAACTCAAGTCGCAGCTAGAGCATGTCAAGGCCGAGCACGAGGCGCAGTTCTCCAAGATCATGGACATCGAGTTTAAGAATGAGGTGCTCGAGAGCAAGCTCAAGGAGGCCGAGGCGCTGCTAGTCGAAGCGCGCGACGCTCGGGCGGCTGCCGAGGCTGAAGCCGAAGCTGCACGCGGCGCCGAGACTCACGTTAGCAAGGAGCTCGAGCTGCTCAAGGCCACACATGCCGGCGTTCTACAGGCGATGAACGACAAGGATGACAAGATCATGGTGCTGGAGGAGGAGGTCAACGCTGTCCGGGTCGAGCTCAAAAAGTCGAACTCTCAGCGGAACGTTCAGCAGATTTCGGGCTCATCAGGCCAGCTCGTAGAGTCTGTGGCGCTGTTGGAGGAGCTGTCGTCGATCGATGGGTCTGAAGTCGGCGGCGCCGAGGCACATGTCAAGCTCAAGAGGATGTTTAAGGCGCTCAAGGTCCAGTTTATTAAGAAGAAGAAGAAGCTGATCCAGGTCCTCGAACTGCACAAGCAGCTGAAGGAGGAGTTCAAGAAGAAGCGTGCGCAGAACACCAAGCTCAAGGAGATGTACATCGAGAACCGTGATAAGCTCAAGGGCCTCGCCGCCAAGCATCTTGCGCTCAAGAAGGCATACAAGGCTGCAACCGGTGCCGGAGGTGACGGAGCAGCTGCGCCGTCCGAGTCGACCGACCACGAGCTGCCTGCTGGCGCCTCGACCGAGCTGGTCCAGAAGCTTAAGCAGCGGGTCATTGCTCTCAAGAAGAAGGTCAAGACACTCGACATCCAGAAGCGGCAGCTCGAGCGCCGGCTCAGTGAGTTGTCCAAGATCAAGGCGGTTGGGCATGACCACGAAGGTGGTGCGCCGCTGGGGTCGTCCGAAGCGCAGACCTCACGGTTGCTCAAGGAGAAGCTGCTCAAGCAGCAATCGATCCGGCGGCGGCTGGAGCGTGACGTGGAGATTCTCAAGGGTGCGCCGAGTGGGCCGCGGACGCTCACCGCACACAAGCTGCGACTCTCGGGGACGTCGGGCGCACTGCGGTCGTCGACGATGGCAGGCTCTGACATGCTTGCTGCGTCGATGATGGCCAGGACGCTTGCTGCCGCTAGTCCCGCGCCCTCGCCGGTCAAGTCGCCAACCTCGGGCCTATTCCCACCGACCAGTGTAGCCGAACGTCGGCGCGCCGCCATCCAAGGCCGACAGCGGAGCAACTCGATCTCGATGCTGTGACCCCTTATCATGGTGTAAACGAATTGCTGTCCGAATTCCAGCCAGCTGCCAGGTTTAGGCCATTGACAGTGCGAGCGTGTGGCCGTCGAGGTGGGCGCGGCAGCGGGGATCGGGGGGGGGGGAACGTGAGCGGGGACAGGGGAACAGGCGGGTGGCACCTCTCGCGACTCGGACTGCAGGCACGCCAGGAGTGACCAAGGCACAAGAAGTGGTGACCAAGGGGCGGAGTTGTTGCTGACGAGGTAGACCATGTCGGACGTGTCGGGCAAGTCGACCATGTCGGACGTGTCGGGCAAGTCGAGCGTGGTGGGCCTTCCTGCAGCGGCCATGACGGGACGGAAGCGTGCGGCGACGGTGGAGAAGCGACGCGACAGACTGATGAGCAGGAGCAAGGAGTATGGCGAGGGCGTGGAGGATGCCGGTGGGGAATGGGTGGACGAGGCGAAGGTGGCGGCGGCGGCGTGCGGCGTGGCGGAAGCGGATGGCCATCCAGAGATGGCGGCGGAGGCGGTGGGAGGCAGCGTAGCGCAAACGGACGGAGACGTGGAAGATGCAGACGACGAAAGTGGCGCTGGCGAAGAGCTGACGTTTAAGGATCATTTCTGGGGCGTGTCGGCTCTGGAGCCAGAAGAGTACTCGAGCGTGGTTGGGGCCGGGATGGGCAGGCGGGACAGGACTGGGAGGATCGGGAGCGGCGGCAACGATGGCCGGGCTGGCGGTGGAGGTGGTGGCGAGGGGGAGAGCGAGGCCAGAATGCGCGGGTTTGAGACGCTTGTGCGGCGGCTGCGTGACTCGAAGCGGATGCTCAAGCATGTGTCGGGCTTTCTCTCGGACGTGGCGGCGGCGGAGGAGCACTACGGTCGGGCGCTAGCCAAGGCGGTGGCCAAGGCCTCGATGGACTTTTCGGTCGAGTACGACTCACTCCGTGAGTGCGTGAGCACATTAGTCGGGCTGGTCATGGAGACCGGGATCCGGGCGACAGAGCGATCCGAGACGCTGGCCCGCGAGATTCTGACGCCGATGCGGGCGTTCAAGGAGTACTTTAAGAACGAGCCCAAGGAGGACGTACGGGTCGAGGCCAAGCTGCACAAGGAGCTAAGCTCTCTGAGAGCCACGCTGCCCAAGCTGCGCGAAAAGTACCACGGCAAGTCGCGCGACGACGAGGAGCTGCAAAAGGCAACGGTGGAGATCATGAACACCGCGGTCCTGTCATCGGTCGAGGTCATGAAGCTGACCGAGAAGCAAGTCAAGGCGGTGAAAGAAGCCAAGGTTGCTGAAGCCAACTACACTCGAGCTGTCGAGGCCACCACCGAGCTTGTCGCTCGGTACAACCTTTATGCCGAGCAGTCGTGTGTTCGGTTCGAGGCCCTCGAACGCGAGCGTGCCGAGTTCCTGCAGGCCCGACTCGAGTCGGTTACCCGCCTGCTCGTCGATCCGCATCCCGGCCAGACCACTGCCAAGCAGGCGCTGGTCACAGCTGTTGACAACATCCAGTCGCGGACTGACATGCAGACCTTTGTCAAGGTCTACCGTACCTCGTCACTTCGTGAGCAACCGCCGACGTTTGTCCCGTACGTGAGCATACTGCGGACGCCAAGCGATGACACAGTGCAGACGTCATGTGTCAGCTCGCAACGAAGCTCAATGGCCGCGGTCTCGGACGGAGCCGGCAGTGGGACCGATGGCGGAGTCGGCGAGACCGGAAGCGTTCTGGGTGGAGGCACCGATGCGGGCGGCGGGAGCGACGGCGGTCGGGGTGAGGCGTCAAGCGCAAGCCCCGCGCACCTCGCGGCTGGCGCCGGCGCTGCAAGCCTCCTCGCTGTCCCGTTGCTGCTGCCGGCTGGGATGATGGCGAGCCGCGAGCCTGCAGCTGGGCAAAGTCCGGGCGGGGTCAGCAACCGGCAGTGGCGGATGAGCTACTCGCCGCAGCTCAGCCGCGACGAGGCCAAGGCCCGGCGGCGACGGATCGGGCGTGCCGGCTTCAAGTCGACATCAGACTTGCCTGTTGTTGCGCTCGGTGACTCGATCCGGCGGTCGAGTGGAACCAGGCGGATCAACTCGGTGTACGTGAGCGCTGGCACGGGACCGGAGAACGTGGCGGGTGCACTGGCACCGTTTCCGCCGCCACCGGAGAGCTTGCACATGTTGCGGCGGTCGCTGGTGAACCACGAGGCGCGGACTGCGCACGAGCTGACGCTGTTTGTCGACGACTACGTTGAGGTACTCGAGGTTGATGAGTCCGGGTGGTGGAAGGGACGCGTGTGCGGGGAAGAGGGACTGTTTTACGCGCGGGCGACGGTCGAGGTCGACGAGCTGGTGCTCAAGCACGGCTCGTGATGGCAGCGATGTGCTCAGCGGCCGTTGCCTGGAGCTGCGAGGTGAGGCTGCGCCAGGCATGCGGGATGGTCTCGTAGCCATGGGCAGCAGCGTAGACTGCGCCTAGATACGCGGTGCGGGCCGCCGAGTCGCCGCCGACAAGCAGGGCGCGATTGACGGCGTCGTGGTAGTCGGAAGCGACCGATAGCGCGTGGTAGAGGCACGGAAGGGTAAACTCGAGCGGGCAGGCAGAGCCAAAGTGCTCGTCGGCAACAGCGACACAGTCGTCGACACCGTCAGCGGCGAGCGTCACAGCGAGGTGTGCGTACTTGGCGTACTCGGCGGCATGCGGCGTGCCGGCGTCGACCGCGGCGTCAAGACCGGCGAGGCCAGCAGCGACGGCGTCGGCAATGCTAGTACCGGAGACAACATCGAGCAGAATAGTGAAGAGGTTGGTGATGGCGAGCTGCGAGACGGAGTTGTTCTGAGTCTCGGCGATGGCATCGGCGACGAGCGCAAGGACGTCGTCGCGGGCAAGGCCGGCGTCGACGGCAAGGACGTACGGCAGGACTTTGCAGAGCGCGTTGGTCTGAGTGTCATTGCCATCGCCGATAGGTGCAGCAAGGGCGGTGGAAAAGGCCTCAAGGGCATCATCGCCTGGGGCTGTGACCTTGGTATCGGCCAGAGCCTTGCGGAGGGCCGGGAGGTACTCGGGCGTGCCGAGGCTGAGCGCGGCAGCGCCGCCGATGCTGTTTGCGGCCTTGGCGAGGGCGGCGGCCTGCGCGGGATCGGCATCGGGAACGGCGGCGACCACGGCAGAGTCAACGGCGGCCTTGATGTTGGCCATGGTCCCGCGGGTGGCCGAGTCGATGTAGCCGACCCAGGCTCCGCCGTAGTCGTAGGCAGCGAGGAAGGCTGCGCGCCAGGGGCCTGGGCCGGGGACGAGAGGGGCCGACGGCGGCGCGGTGGCGAGAGCGGCGAGAGCAACAACGGTAGCGTGGCCGAGGTGGGTCGACTCGCCCACAGACTTGGTCCCGTGGGCGTAGTACGCCGGCGGCTCGTAGTTGGCCTTGTCAGGTGCGGCAAAGGCCGGCGAGGGCCCCAAGCGTGCGGCCACGTTGCCAGCGCCATAGATCCAATGCGAGCCGATGGCAGCGGCATCGCCGATGAGTGCTCCGAGGACGGCGGCGTGTGCAGGGCTGCGTGCGGCCATGGTGTGGATGAGTTGGGTGTGGGTGTGGGTGTGGACGGTGGGGAAGGAAGGGGGGGAGGCGAAGGAAGGCACGACGTGCGCATGGCGTCATCCGAGTCGGTCGCAGTCGGTTTTGGCAGGGGGGTGGCGGACGGGCGGGCGAACGGGGGTTGGACAGCAGGGCGGGATCTCACTGACATTCACTTGGAGAAAGAGGGTGTGTGTGGGGGGGAGGCCGACGGGTGTGGGGCACGGAGACGTGGCGCAGCAGACTACCACTCGCCGTTGGCAGCGATGAAGGACTTGACGAGCTGGGTGACCTTGCCGGCAGCGAGCCCGGAGAAGTGGAGGGTCTCGTCGTGGGTGATGTGCTCGTTGGTGAGGCCAGCGGCGAGGTTGACGACGATGGAGACGGTGGCGACGCGGAGGTCGCAGTGGCGGGCGACGATGACCTCGGGGACGACAGACATGCCGACGCAGTCGGCGCCGAGGATCTTGAAGGCCTTGATCTCGGCCGGGGTCTCGAACGACGGGCCGAGGCAGGCGAGGTACACGCCCTCAGTGATGTTGATCTCGTTCTCGGCAGCCTTGGCCTGGATGAGGGCGCGGAGGGCCGGGTCGTAGGCGTTGAGCAGCGAGGGGAAGCGCGGGCCGATGGGGTCGTTGGGGCCGATAAGCGGGTTGCGGGCCTGCAGGTTGATGTGGTCCTTGAGGAGGAAGAGCTCGCCGGGGCCGACGTCCTCACGGAGCGAGCCGACAGCCGAGGTGGAGAACATGATCTCGCAGCCGAGCTCCTTAAAGGTGTAGATCGGAGCGCGGATGAGCTGCGGGTCGGTGCCCTCGTAGAGGTGCACGCGGCCCTTGAGGCAGGCAACCTGGACGCCCTCGAGCGTACCGCAGACAAAAGTGCCGGCGTGGCCCTGGACGGTCGAGACCGGGAAGCCCGGGAGCTCCGAGTAGGGGAACTCGGTCTTGTCCTCGATGGCGTCGGCGACACCGCCCATGCCCGAGCCGAGGATGATGGCCAGCCGCGGGGCAAAGCCCGGCAGCTTGGTGCGGATGTAGGCTGCGGCGGGGGCACCAGCCTATGGGTGTGTGGAGGGAGTGAGTGAGTGTGTGTGGAGGGGGGGGGGGGGAGTGTGGGCGCAGTGGCTTGATAGGTCAGCGGGAGCGGGAGAGCAAGAGGGCGTACTGACTGGGCGCCGTCGAGGGGCTTGGCGACCTTGGTCGGGCGCTGGTTGTCAGCGGGCTCAGAGGCTTCGCGCTTGGGGGAGACTGCAGACATTGAAGGAGGGAGAGAGAAAAGAGAGAGAGGGGTGGAGGCGGTGGCGGTGGCAGTGGTGGAGGCGGTGGCGGTGACGTGGTCGGCGGGTGGTGGAGACCCCAGTCGGCGGCTGGCTGGCATGTGATTTGCTGGTGGGCGGATGAGTTGGGGGGGGGGGGGGGGGGAGAGGGAGGGGAGTCGAGCGGCTATCAGG